CTCCAGTTCATTTCGGTCTGCGGGACCGCGTCACCATCGCCGCCCGTCGCCGGCGGACGGGTCACAGATGGTCTGCGTGCCGGCAGCGGTCTGGGCGCGGGGGCCGCGCATCCGTCACGCTCAGTCCTGGGGGTCGGCCGGCGGGGGGGGGGGGACGGGTCGGACGGCGAAGGTCAAGGTCGGCCGCCGCGTCTGGAGCGGCTCACAGAATCAATTGGAGTGGTCTGCCGCAGGGGCGCGGCCACCACCGGGGTCGGCGGGCTCCGAGCCCCGGCCAACACCAGGCTCGACGACCTGTGCTCGCGTTTTGCACAACCGAAATAGCATCAAACTGGACTGGAGCCGGTTGGTTTGGTCTCGGACCTCGGCCACCGTCAGCGGCGGGGTGACGCCCGTGACAGGGCCGGAGCGGATCGATCGAGCCGTCGGATGTCGCCATTCACAAACGGGCTTCAACAGCTCGGCTGTTGCTGTTTGGCAATGCTGCCAACGGTCACTGAATTGGGGTGGTAGTTGTCAGGTAGACACTCGCAGGTGCTACGCGTGGAGCTGTGCGTGACTGTGTACGCCCTGCTGGGAACATCGCACTCGCACCCGTCCTACACTGCAGCTGCGGGCGGGAAAGGACAGTGTCTGCCTCGCCACCTCCTCAGAACCGAGATGTGCGGGAGGTGGCTCGATTGTGACAAACACCGGCTCTTCCCCGTCGGCTCGGCGCACGCTCCGCACCGGCGGCGCCGCCGTTCGCTGGAGCGGAAGCCGTCTCGGGCGTCGAATCGCCTCTCGCCGGAAGCGCTACTGGTTTCCGCCGGGGATGGGAACGGGGGGGGGGGGGGAGGGGCCGCCCGGTGTGGTGCCTCGCGTAGGGAGGGAGGAGGAGGGGGAGGGGGAGGAGTTGCAGGCATCGCTGAGACGGTTTTGAAACCGTTGGGACTCTGAACGAAACATTTGCGGCATGATTTTAACCTTGATACGTAATCGTTTAATGGCCATTCGTTCCAAGTCGGTCAGTGTTAGACGCGCGGAGGCATTGCAGATTAAAAACTGTGACGTCTCAGGGTGCAGGTGTGGGTTTGCTGGATAAGTGTGATTGGTAGCATCAAGATGCTGGGTGCTTAGTCTAAGTGGTATCTGAAATCAGTATGTATTGCTAATCGATGCATTATTAGACCTCTTTGTGTGCAATGACCAGTGTGGTTCATCCGGTGCTTGTTTGCCTAGTAGGTACCGATTTTATGTTTGTTGGTCACCCAAGACGAGGTCATTTGCGTTGGGCATAATCAATGACGACATATGTGGCGAACATGATCCCCAGCTCCATTTGCGTCGAGCGTAATCTGTGCGATTAGTTTCATTGCTCGTCAGCCTCCAACCAGTCAGAGTAAACAGCCCAGCCAGTCGCGCAAATTGACTGAAGTTGATGGATGATAATTGGGTTGATGGGAAACTAGTTTCAGGCTCATCAAGCGCCCCCTCGCTTCAAGCGCTGTTTCCGTTGCTGGCGTGATGGCCGTTTTTAAAGCCTCTTGATCGCCGACATACCTTTTGAACGCCGGCATACCTCGTGATCGCCGGCACACCTCTTGATCGCCGACATGCTTGAGCTGTGGTCGGTGGCCGCCTGTAGTATGCAACGGCATCACGTACAGGGCATGCCTGGCCCGAATAGTGGCTATATTTACCCTCCTGTTTGGGTGCGAGACATGCCGGCATGCGACGACGTCCTTCCGGGTGACATTCCGGCCTGTCCTTTATGAATTGCGGACGAACTGACCCTGCGGTGCCCAAGTCTCGGCTCTGCGGTGAGCGGCCGAGAATTGAATTACTGATAGCCGTTTGAAACAATAAGCAGGTCCGCAAAACTGTGGACCTGCGGCCAAATGTTGCTTGCGCCAATGCCGCGGGCCTCGAACTGGACATTCACTTGGTCTACGTCTAGTTATATATGCTAAAGCTCGTTTAGGAATACCGCTATAAATCCACTACTCAGAAGTACACATCATTATATTGGCATGAGACAAACTCCTGCAATATTCATATGTGCGCCGTCTTGCTTTGGCCAAAACGGGAAGTGATGCGTGTAGATCTTGTGCACATGACGCAGAATTATGGCGGATTGGTTCTAGCAAGAAGCGCATGCGCAAAGCTTTCCTTCGCATTGCTCCAGCCTGACGGCGACGCCATGCCACCGGCAAACCCGCAGTATTTTTCCGAGCTGGAATCGACCGATTGCAAGCGTTTTGCTGTCCCAACGCGAAACCGCCGTCACCACCAAGCGTCCCGCCAGCTGCGCTATGTCACGATACCACTTTCGCTGCACTGTGGACTGCGGTGTCCATTCTGAGACCTCTCCTGCCCTGCGGTGACGCTGACCTGCCGCGACAGTGTCACGCTGAACTTGATCTCTCGCGGCTCGGAACGTTTCATGGAAGGGGAAGGGGGGGGGGGGGGCAGCCGACCGCGGCTCGCCCTCCAGCTGGGGACGACCTGGCCCGAGCTGGGGACGAACCACGCCGAGCTGCGGACCACACGCGTTGCTTCGGCGATCTAGCCCAGTTGATCCGCTGCTGCAGGCCGAGTTGATCCGCCGCTGCAGGCCGCGCAAAAACAGCGGCCGTGCCGTGACTGCGCCTTTCATCGCCGCGCCACGATTGCAAGCAGCCGTCACCGCTGCGCCACGATCGTAAAACACCGCCGCCGGCATCGGTTGCGCAACAGCCGATTGTGTTGCAGGATCCGGTGGCGTGGTTTGCGCGGTGTGCGTGCTTGTGGCGCCTTTAGGAGACCCTGGGCGTCACCCTCGCATTACAACGTTGACAGCGTTTCATTAGCCACCAGAGACTCCAGACGTTATCAGAGGCCCCGTCGTCTTCAAAAGGTTATTAACAACGTTGTTGTTATCCAAACCTTGAGACAAACGTTACCAGTGGCTCAATAATATCTCAAATTCGTCAAACTCTACCACGGGCTTTAGGCGCACCTGGACTCCAGAGGCTCCAAACGTCATAGGAGCCTACGGATGGATTGTATGAGGTTCAATGAATTACCCAGTGCTCCATGCATCACGACAATCCGCCTGGTCGTTCGGATGGCTCCCCTTTTCATCGGATGGCTCCCCTTGTCATCGAACGACTCACTTCGCCATCGGATGACTCCACTTGTCATCGAATAACTCCCTTTGTTATCGGATGACTCGTCTTGCCATCGGATGACTCTCGACAGCATCGGATGACCCCCTCTGCCATCGGAGGACTTTCCTTGTCATCAGACGTTGTCATCGACATTGCATGACGCGTGACCCTGGTTTTGAACCACTTCTGAATGCTGGCCTGCCTGCCATGACGACAACAGCCGTCGGATGCAGGGACTACGTCTGTTGGAAACTTATGTAGCCCTCGTTTTGTTTACTTCGTCCTGCGACAACGGGCCAATGCTACCCTATGGTGGACTTCGTAGCATCAGTCTGTGAACATCGCGCCTTCTCCACGCTTGACCCGTCGCGAGGCTTCAGGTGGCGTCGGTTATCCAACACAGGATGCTCCTCGTACTAATCGAGGTTGACGCACAGCGATTATGCCATTGATTAATCGATATTGCTGCATTTTTGCTGTGTTGTGAAAGGCAATGCGCAGTGGTTAAGAAGAATCCGTTTTAGGAGGCTGTTGACACAGGGCCATCCGGGAGGACTAAAATTCTTCTGCAGTCTTTTTGCGCCACATACCGGCAAAGTAACAAGGAGGTTTGGGATTGGTACTCTGTCTCAGGTGACGCTAACACACTCGCCTTTCATGGCTAGTGCGTGATTGCTCCATCTAGCAGTTCCAAAATGCCGGAGTGAATGGAATTATCTGGCGATTCCACTCTAGCAAATGGCTAAAAGTTAGGCGCGATGGTGGGAAGTTCACCCATTCACCGGTTTCGCCACGCATTCCCAGACAATCATGGAAGATTCATGCCTGCAGTGCAGTTGCTTTTGTGAAATTGAAGCTATGATGCTTTTGAGCACACGTGCTAGTCAGTGGCGGCATACCTCGCCACTGACTAGAGGGCCGGCCGCCGCCACTGCTGCACGCACCCCATGACGAGCAGCTGACCCCGGCGGGGTGTCGGTCCTCGCGCCGTCGTCGGTCCTCGCGCCGTCGTCGGTCCTCGCGCCGTCGTCGGTCCTCGCGCCGTCGTCGGTCCTCGCGCGGTCGTCGGTCCCCGCGCGGTCGTCGGTCCCCGCGCGGTCGTCGGTCCTCGCGCCGTCGTCGGTCCCCGCGCGGTCGTCGGTCCCCGCGCGGTCGTCGGTCCTCGTGCCGTCGTCGGTCCTCGCGCGGTCGTCGGTCCTCGTGCCGTCGTCGGTCCTCGCGCCGTCGTCGGTCCTCGTGCCGTCGTCGGTCCTCGCGCCGTCGTCGGTCCTCGCGCGGTCGTCGGTCCTCGCGCGGTCGTCGGTCTTCGCGCGGTCGTCGGTCCTCGCGCGGTCGTCGGTCCCCGCGCGGTCGTCGGTCCCCGCGCGGCCGTCGGTCCCCGCGCGGTCGAGGGCCCTCGCGCCTTCGTCGGTCCTCGCTCGGCCGTCGTTCCCGTCGCATGACACGCCACCAGACACGTCTCGAACGCTGCCGGGTGGGCGTGGCACGAGCGTCATCCAGCGGTGCTTTAGAGCGCTCGCGGCGGATCGCCAGTCGCCAGCCGCCAGCCACCCAGAACTTTAATCTGATTCCAATGGCTCTGAATTAATTGGGCGCTGTCGTCCCGAATTTCATGGCCGAGTCTATCGACTCGGCTGCAGTTCCTTGGGGAGCGACGCGACGGTGCCGGCGCGCTGGGGATGTATATCAGACGCAACAGTTGTCGTCCAGGGGGTTGAAGCGCGTTGCCGACTGGCGCCGCTGCATTTCCCAACAGCATCATGTTTACGCCCCTTCGCTGCGCCGAAGGCTGTGTCCATCTTCTGTCCCGTCGCGAACGATGTTGTCGCCAACTCGGCCCTGGGGAAATTCCTTGACAGAAACTTGCAGACGTACACCGGAACAATTTTAGTAGCAGTGAACCCGTACCGAGAGCTCAGCATCTACGGCCAGGTGAGCCATGAGCATGCGCGGGCGCCGTGCGCTCAGATGTTGAAGCGTCGTTGTTGTTTTGCTCAATGTTGAGCGTTCTGAGCCAGGCCAATCGTTTGTGTAGTCAGCCGGTTGAATGAATTCATGGAGTGAACGTTTGCGTCGTGCTGTTTGCCTTCCGAACGCGCATGCGCTCCACGAGCGCCGCAACTCACGCCGACGCGTGACTGGAAAGTCGGCATGCCCCGCTGCATCATCAAAACACACCCCGACCGCGTGACCCACTCTCCATTCCGTTGGTATCCGTTGTAAATGACTGGGCCCCTGCGCATGTATGCCTCGCTTGCGTTTGGTCATTTCCGTCTTTTGTGCGGCTGGTTAGCGCTTCACGGGCTGCGGTCGTCTCACGTGCGCCAGTTTGAGTGTCGTCGTCTGCTCACCGACGGATGCCGTTGCAGGACGCCATCTTCTCGTACCGCGGGCGGAAGCTGGGCTCCATGGAGCCGCACATCTACGCGCTGGCGGAGGCAGCGTACACGGCTCTGAAGAGGGGCGACGGCAACCAGGTATGAACGCATCCAGCTGTGTGACAGGCGAACGGTCCGTTTGGCTGGGTCTCGTGTCTGGCGTTCGCTGGACTGTAATCGGTCTTGTACATCACCAAGTTACCATTTTTCACATATTGGAGGCTTCTTGAGTCACTTCACCCATACCAAAACCTGGCCATCTCCCTAACCCCGCAGTGCGTGATAATTACCATCGTCTGAAGCCACCTGTTGTTCCTAGCACTCCCAACCACATCGTAGCTCCTTGCGTCCTCCACATTCGCGTGCGATGCGCTCCGCTCGGGCTGACCCGTGACCTTCGCCGGCGGCAGTCGTGCGTGATCTCGGGCGAGAGCGGCGCCGGTAAAACGGAGACCACCAAGTTCATCCTGCAGTACCTCTGCTCGGTCACCTCCGGCGTCAGCACCTGGGTCGAGCAGCAGATCCTCGAGGCCAACACCATCCTGGAGGCGTTCGGTGAGTTAGCGGTGGGCGAGTCAAGGCCTGCCCAGAAGGTGTCTCCGTCTCAGCCAGGCGCGATCCCGCCGACACTGCTGGCCGCTCCGGTTCGGTGGGTTAAAGGAGGCGCAGAGGGTGTGAATCCGTGAGGGTGAAGGAATGACGGGCGGTTTCACACACACGCACTTGCTGAGGTCAACTTAGTGCGCCCATTTGCTTGCTGCGCTAAGGTGGACCTCGTGGGGGAGGCGTGCGCCCGCATTGCATGGAAGCCGGAGTGGTAGAATTTCTACTAGAGGCGTAACTTTATTTACCTCCGGGGCCTGAGCACCTCCCCACTACTGCCTTGGATGCATGTTGGCAAAGAGGGAATTCTGGGTCAAATAAACACAGAGCAATTACCTGAGCTGTTGGTGTGCTGGGCTGGGCTATTGGTCTCATGTTCATTCCTTACCAAATAGTATCCTGCAGGTACCCAATATTTTGTCATGCTAGATCATTGATATGTTAAGCCAGTCTGCAAACGTTTGGCAAGTTTTCAAATGATAACGCATGGATCGGGATAATGAACAAATGAATGCAATATGCGGCAGCTGTTAAAGGTACAGGGTGGCCCAGATAAAAGTTAACGCATGTTTTTCTAAGCGGTGGCAGGTGTATTTAGCACATAATCGTGGCTATGATGGTTATCCAACACGTTTAGCGACGCCGGTAGTCGTGGGTGATCCCTCACCAACATTTGCTGAAATATTTTGCTGTGAATTACACCCTATTCTAAGCTTTTCACAAAAAGGCAACTCAGTTATTTCAAAGGGAAGTCATTCCTCTGCAGAAAATCAATTTCCAATATGCGAGGCACGAAATAGTTTTTTCAGCTTAACATCGGTAACGCGAATTAAGGTGGCCGAAATCCTGGGAGACATAAGGTTTTGGGAGTAGGCTAGGTTAGTCTTTTTGGTTGAGCCTCACCAACCGGTTTAAGAAAATGGCACCCCTGCTTTCCAATCTAGTTCTTTCCACTGTCATGTAGCCTTTGTGTGCAGTGCACGCACTTCCACTTACAATATGGAACGGGGTTCTAGTCTTTGTTGCGGAGTATTGCTCAATATTCAGTATGAAAATATAATTGAAATAGTCAACACCAGTTTGGAGCCTCTTGTCATTTTCATTCGTGTAAATTTCATTCATTCATGGACGCATTTCCATCACTTGGCTGGCTAGCTCCAGCTTCAAGCCAGTTGCCGTGGTAGTTTTATCAGTGATAAATCTAGCGGCACATTCCCTAGGTTTCCTGCTACGATGTAATAGCGGTTTTGGCCTTTGTTCGAGGAAACTTTTCGCAAGGTGCGCCATGACAGGAATGACGGACTGAAATGCGCGCAGGAATCTGGGCCATGCTGCTGAACTGCCTCCCATTCGTGCCTTGAAAGTGCTCTCTGCCGTGTCTCATAATGGCGCGCACGCAATCTGCAAGACTGCGCCTGTATCGTTTGGATATCTTTCGTGTGGTTGGCTTCCTTCGCGCCTGGTGCCTGCATGGCCACGTACGAGTGGCTGTCAACTGTCAGTTTCAAGTGTGTGGCCGTTGCTGTGCAAACAACCGCTTTGTGTTTGATCACCTGAAACCCTTGAGTCATCCGAGTGTGGTGTAAGCATCGTGCTAGGCTTCTGTGAATTGATAGGCTCACTTTGACCCAGCATCCGCTGTGAAACGAAGTCGTTTTCAAACGCTTGGTTTTGTCGTTGGTGAACAAGATATAACAGCGGCTAGCGAGGGATTGTCTGATTCCTGCGAGATTGAGAATTCCCAGTGTCCCACTGCACTTGCAGTGGCGATGAGAAACGACGCATGCGTCTATGTTATTCTAACCAGGTAGCGATGCAGCAGGCAGCAGCACTTTCTCGGTTTACGAGGCGCTCTAATTACCACGCTTCTGAGGAGGGTCTAATCTGGCCAGCAAACTACTTACAGCGAGGCTGTAAGCAATTTGTTGCACCGGTCAGGGCTTCAAAACAACCATCAGCAACCCCCGGTCTGCGGCGGATGCGTTCCCCATCTTCTGCCGCTGTTGAACAGCCTAACCACGAGGTGGCAGCCGCGGCTCTGAAAGGTCACAAGGTCGGCAGCAGGTCATGTGGCTGATGTTGGTGGGCACACAACGGTATGATCTGACTTATTAGGGATGCATTCTCCATCATTCAGCTCGGACAAGAAGTGCGGCAGGCCGAGGCGTGTGGGTTTTTCTCAAACAGTACTATGCACGCGCGTGATTGTAAACCTGACGCCAACAGGTAGTTTTGCCTGATCCTTCTCCAAACGACGAGTGACCGTGATTTTGAGCTGCGGATCTGCACGCTTCTATGTCCTCTACAGTCTCGCTGCGTGCCGCGGCCTGCAAAGAAGATTGATGCCACTTTTACCGCAATTTAATCAAGACGGTGACTAGCCCGCAACTCCCTGCCTGCTGCCTGCCGACGAATCGTCGGAAGGGTGGAGAGAATCGCTGAAGATTGTTTTGTTGGACGCGACGCCCTAAAACAGTCACACGTCCGGCCGTCAAGCAGTTACACGTCCGGCCGTCAAGCAGTTACTCGTCCGGCCGTCAAGCAGTTACACGTCCGGCCGTCAAGCTCGCTGAGGCATCGTCAGTCCACCAGGCAGACAAAAAAACTTTATGGGATCTGATTTCCTTTTCAGTGACAAGAGGCGTTTGTGGAACTGGGTTCCAGGAATGGTTTGGTCGCACTGAATTGTTGGTTGTCCGGGATGACAAAAGCTCGCCCGATTTCCAATAGCGCCGGCTGTGATTCGGGACGAATGGGTCCTTTGCGCGAGCACAAGAACTGGGCCAACTCGATTAACGAAGAGGGGCCACAGTAGTTCTTGGAGTGGTGTGTCGCGTCCCCTTCTTACTTTGATTCCAATCAAATGAACAACTAGATCGCCCTATGGGAGGGCTTGATGCTCCAGAGTCCTGGTGCGCGAGGCGCTCGGTCCCAGGCTCTGCCTTGATCAGGAGGCTCCGGTCAGTCGTGCGCCCCCTCCCCCCCCCCCCTCCCGCTCCCGTCACCCCTGCGGAAGATGGCAGTCCAGACGCGGCTCGGTTTTAGTTGATTAGCCTGGCTGCTGTCGGGGGCGTTCCGCCGTCCGACGGGCGGCCAGAGCCAGAGACGCCCCCTCCCCTTCCCCCTCTCCCTCGGAGACGACTCGTCCGCGCCGCCGCCGGCAGGAAATGAGGCCACCAAATCACCGGTGCCGTGCCTTATCGAATGACCGAGTAAATCCGGGACGAAAATGTTTTGCCGCGATGTGGAGGGCTCGCGGCTGCGGGGTTGGGCGTGAGCTCAAAAAGGATTCGCAGGTCGCGTTCCGCTACAAGTGGTGGCGATGCAGCAGCTTCTGCTCGCAGACCCTTGCGCGAAATATGTATTCACGCCGCACTGGTGAACGGTTCAGCATAAATCGTCCGATGTTAGCCCGTGACAAATGATAGGGGCGACATTTGCTTTGCACTGCAGTTGGCAGTGCTGAGGTACCTCTGCGCGCGACGCCACTCAGGTACAAGATCATGCGTGCGCGTCATACGTGCAAGCAGTCGCAACGCTGGCAAGGCCCACCGACACCGCCGTCGACTGCAGAAGGCGGAGACAGGACAGGCTGGAGCCCGGGGTTCGACGGCGCTCTGTTGCAGCCAGCATCAGGACGACGGCGGGCCGTGTGATGCCTGCGGTCTGCCCCGCCCCAGCTAACGAGACGGCTGGGACGGTAAAAAGCGGCCAAAAAACGCTGACTCACGTACTTGAGAAGCCCAGAGATGGGACGCATGGGTTGGAGATTGGAAGGAAGCTTGAGCCTGGCGCCGGCTCCGCGGGGTCTCGCGTTGTGGCAGCACGTTCTGATGCTAGTAGGGGCGCTATCGTTTGGGCGTCAGCTCGGCTTAAGGCTGCAGTTCGAGGCAAGGGGTGTCAGTGCCGTGTGACGTTAGTGTGGCGATGTTTGCAACTAGGTCGAACAAACCGCGCCACGACAATTTTTGTCTACTGCTTTGAGAGAACTCAAACAGACCCGGAATGAAATTCTGCGGAATAGTCAGCGCAAGAATAAAGTCGTCGGGCCGTGAAGGCAGATTTCATAGCATGTGCCACCTGAATGTCCGTAATCTGCAAACTTATAAACCTTAGGGGAAAAGTTGGATCCCGTCCAGGAGGCCCGGCAAACTCCATCGTTCGGGAAATCCGACCGATGGAATGCTTTATAGTCCTTGGGTCTGAAAACTATGATAACCATAAAGTGTCATTGCAATAACAGCTTAACGTAATCTATGGCCATTTTATCGCCAAAGTAATCGAAATGAGTTATTCTGAGGAGCATCCAGAAATAAATTCCTGCGTCCCCTTTCAGCCCACCAGCTTGCAAGCATGAAGCACGTCCGGAACGGGAGTATGACGGGATGAGCCAGACGGGAGTAGGCTGGGATGAACCAGACGGGAGTAGGCCAGGATGAACCAGACCAGAGTAGGCCGGGATGAACCAGACGAGAGTAGGCCAGGACGAGCACGCCCGGCCGCCGACAGACGGTAGCCCCTGGCGCCGGCGGCTGCCGGCTGGCGCGGCCGGGAGCTGTCCGTCCACTCCTGGCCCGCCCGGCAGTCTCGGCCGTGATAACGGGCAATCATCGCGCTCATTCAGCGCCGGTCGGTGTGTTCGCTGGGCTGCCATTAGTCGGGCTCGTCGGACACGCCGGCCGACGCCGCCGCAGGGTCGTCAGCTGCGCGCGCGGGAGGCGCCTACAAACACCCCCCGCGAGGCAGTGGCGACGAGACGCGGTGCCGCGGAGCTGGGGAGTGCTGACAAAGCCGGCAAGGCGAGCGTCTCAGTGCAACCACGCGTGAAAGTCTCAAGGTTGTAGAAGGGGTGATAAGGCATGGCTAGCAGGCACGGGATGTATCTGCCACTCTTTTGTCATGCCGCAGCAGAACCTATGGCGGTGTGACACAGGCGCTGTGGAGGTGGAGGCGCTCTGCCAGCCGTGGTGACGACGGCTCGTTGGGATGCACGGGTCTCGCGCGTGAGGCGAAGTAGAGCTTGTGATCGGCTTGTTAGGAGCCTACACTGTGCCTGGCCAGTAGCACATTCGGCTGCCTCGTAAAGGCCAAGCCACGCGGCTGTGATGACCTGGCGCTGGCGGCAATGATGCGTTGCAGCCTCATCTCCACGTCTCGCCCGCGGCAATTCTGCCGCCTCGTAAACGACGCCGCCGGTGTAGTCGTTACCCTTTCCGGGTCCGACGAATATTTCTGAAGTGGAGCCGGCAGAGGGTTTATGGGGATTGTGCCGACTCCCTCAAACCAAGTCGCAGCAAGAGCAGGGTAATCCGACGCTTTTCACAGCCAGCACTTGAAAGCCTTCTCTGTTATTGATGCAGGGCAAACGGTGTGGATTCTAGACGCCTCGCACTGCGCATCTGAATGATTTGGTACGCGCAGTGCAGCACACTGCACAGCGCACGTGCATTTGCTGTTTTGTTAGGGATGTAACGCATGCCTTCGCGCAACCTTTTTATGGGGCACCAGCGACCGCGACGGGCTTCCTGCGGGCAGTGCGGGGCCCTGTAACAAAGGATTGAGCCCAGAATCGAACCCGGGTCTCCAGCGTGGAAGTCGGAGACCATTCCAATGTCGCCATCACGATTCGCTCGTCCGGACCAGCTATTTTTGCGCATTGCAGGTAACGCCAAGACGGTGCGCAACGACAACTCGTCGCGCTTCGGGCGCTTCATGCAGGTGTGCTTCGACTCGCACTGGCACATCAAGGGCTGCATCATGCAGGACTACCTGCTAGAGCAGTCGCGCATCACGTTCCAGGGGCCGGACGAGCGCAACTACCACGTCTTCTACCAGCTGGTGGCGGCGGCGCAGGTGAGACACCAACCACGTCTTCTACCAGCTGGCGATGGCGGCACAGGTAAGACACTAACCACGTCTTCTACCAGCTGGTGGCGGCGGCGCAGGTGAGACACTAACCACGTCTTCTACCAGCTGGTGGCGGCGGCGCAGGTGAGACACTAACCACGTCTTCTACCAGCTGGTGGCGGCGGCGCAGGTGAGACACTAACTACGTCTTCTACCAGCTGGTGGCGGCGGCGCAGGTGAGACACTAACCACGTCTTCTACCAGCTGGTGGCGGCGGCGCAGGTAAGACACTAACCACGTCTTCTACCAGCTGGTGGCGGCGGCGCAGGTGAGACACTAACCACGTCTTCTACCGGCTGGTGGCGGCGGCGCAGGTGAGACACTAACCACGTCTTCTACCAGCTGGTGGCGGCGGCGCAGGTGAGACCTTACCACATCTTGTACCAGCTGATGGCGGCGGCGCATGTGAGACACCACCACATCTTCTACCAGCTGATGGCGGCGGTGCAGGTGAGACACTACCACGTCTTCTACCAGCTGGTGACGGCGGCGTAGGTGAGACCCGTTTAGCACGTGCTGGTGAATCGTGCTAGAACATGCCATGTCATAGCATAAAATAATAAAACTTTTCGGCCTGGTGAAACATGGTATAATGCCATGGTATTATAAAACGTGGTCAGCATGCTGCTTGAATATCTAGCGCATTAAAACGTGGACACTACGCATCTGCCGCCAAGCCCTGTGGGTTCACCCTGTGCCGCCAGACCGGGCGTGTCACTGATGACCGTCCCCCCCCCCCCCCCGCTTGAAATCACCGCCACCAGTAAATAAAGCATGCCTCACTTGCGGCGTGTTCTATGATCTAGTGACCCCTTAGTTGATGTCACATGATGTGAGCACGTTCATATCACCATGTTGTACAAGCTGGCAGCTGATAAAGCATGTCTCTAGCGAAGCATGTTCTATCAGCTGGTGATAGCGCCCACAGCGAAGTACGGTCAGCAACGGGTGCCTACAAGGGATGCGTTGGTCAGATGGAGTCCTGTAATGCAGTGGCATAGGCGCAGCGTTTGAGCGTTAGTACGAACACACTACTGCAATGGAGCACGTAATTGGGCAGCAAGCCGCTCATGATGCGCAGTTCGCTGACCAGCCTGCGCTGCGCATTGTAGCACTGGCCCATCAGGGAGGGTGATCAATGCCCTGCGGTTATACGTCGGGGTCAGCCCAGAGCTTGCGCGTCTGGCCCCTGTGCGTCCTCCATGCTCGGCGGCAGCCTCGGCAGACTGTTGGACCTTACCGGACCCGCCAGCGGCGCTGACCTCGGCCGGGGCGGGCCGGGAGCCATCGCTGCGCTGTTGCGCGCCCCGCCACCGGTGACTACAATCCGAGGCCGTGCTGGGATGGGTATAACGACGCGCACCGTGCGGAATGTGGAGGCTTGCATCTCGACGCTGTTTGGCATTCGCTGCGGACGACACGCGCGTTACTGTAGCCACCCGGAGTTTGACGTACTCTGTGGGGAAGCTCGCAAAAGCAAATAGCTGGCAAGTCAGATAAATACGGTTGGTGCATGCATAACCCAGGCCAAAGCAATCGGCATCCGTAGCGCGTGGCGTAGAGACCAGCACCAGCTCCGACCGGGGCTCGGCGCTGGTGCTGACCGCCCGGCTCCAGCTCCCCCGACCGGAGCTCGGCGCTGGTGCTGGCCACTTGGCTCCAGCTACCCCGGCCCTCTCCTCGCCAACAGAGGAACTCCGAACTGGCCGCTCAGCTCCGGCTGCGGCCAGCCCCCACTAACCCACCTGACGGCTCCTCCCCTCCCCCAGCGGGACGCGGAGCTGGCGGCCCAGTTCCATCTGCGGCCGGCCGCCGACTACAGCTACCTGCACCAGTCAGGCTGCGTGCGGCTGGATGGCGTGAACGACGCTGAGCGGTTCGACGCACTGCGGCTGGCCTTCAGCGTGCTGCAGATCCCGCAGGAGGTCTCGGACGGCCTCTACGCCACGCTGGCCGCCATCCTCTGGCTGGGCAACATCAACTTCCAGGTGCGCGGACGGCGGCCGGCGTCGGCGTGGACGCGGACAGGAGGTGGAGGGTGTGTGGAAGGTGGGGGTGACTTGTGCGGGTATGGGGGAGGGAGGGGAAACAGTAGACGATCGGGAGCAGTTTTTTTCTTGTCGCCGTCCATCAGCCACGCCGGCTCAGAACAAGTATATGACGTGTGCGAGTAAATACGGATCAGAGTAAGGCCGGGTGTGTGTGTGCGTGGGGGGGGGAGGGGGAAGGTAACTGAGCTGACGAGCACGTGGAGAAAGGAGATGGACGATGAGACTGGTGGAGGGGAAAGGATGTGACAAGTGGCGCGAGGAGGGCGTGGGCGATCTGGACACTGGTCCCGATCTCCCCTCCCCTGCCACCGCCCGGGCATCTGGGACTCTGACCCCCTGCGGTTGCGACACGGACGCGCTGTTTCGTCAGTATCGAATACGGCCAGCGCTATCTGCCACAGCGCGTGTCGTGCTGCTCGAGGGCATCTCGCAAAGTATATGGGTTTTTGCGACGGTGGCCTTCTGGTCCACAATTTGCCCGGTTAGAGGCACGAATGCGAGTCTCGATCGCCAGAGTACGTTTTTGCGGTCGTCTGAGACCTCTCGGTCACGGTGCCCGCGCGTGGCTTGTGGCTGGACGGCGCGTTTTTCGGTCGAGGGTAGAGCAGTCTGGATGCGAAGTGCTCGCGTCTCAGCAGTACCTGAAACCCGCAAAACTGAAAACCGACGCGTGGATATAAATTTAGTTTAGCCATGATCAGACGACAGTTGACTGTCAGACCTCACTGGCCGGACTACAGTTGACTATTAGATCATAGATCTCAGTACAGTTGACTATCAGAACTCATTGACTGGGCGGTAGCGATATTTCTCTGAGAGCGCCAACATGGCAGGTGCCTTGCAATAGAAAATCGTTGTTATTTTATTGGATTACCCCTGCGGGTTGGCCATGTGCCAAAGCTTCATAGCCTTCGGCATTACCACCGGCAGAGAAGACATAGCACTCAAATAAAGCCGCCATCGGTGCATATCAGCGCATGTGTGGAATCCTGTTGCGCTTGGCTGCGAGAATTTAGACGGGTGGCTAGGCTCACGGATACGCTCTTTGTGATCTTAATCGCACTGTTTGATGCTGTCCCTCACATCCCACGCGCGCGTGCGTGCCTGCGCGCAGCATCGCCTCCAGCTCTGACGGATCTATCCAACATCGGCTTCGCGTGCGAGTGGCGCACGGTTCGGCACGTGCGTGGGGTGGAGTGCGCCGCGCATTGCGTCACATATCTTCCGCGTTTGTAATATCGGGGACAGCCCGTGCTCGGCTCCATCTTTGACGTTGACTCTGTCTGGCATTGCCGTGGGAATTAGCTGGGTCTCGATGCTTAACTCGTGGGCTGGCACCAAGCCCGTGCGTTTTGTCTCAAAATATTGGGGAAGTGGAGACCGAAGAGTCGCCAGAGAGGTCAGACGTGATATGATGAACCCTTGTGACCCGGTATCACGTGATCTTGTGACCTCTGCCCCGGCCTGACTTGACTCGACCCGACCCCACGCGTGTACTACAGCTTCAGGAGACGGTTGGGGAGAGGAGGCCGAGCTGACGTCGATCGATGCCGGTATACCGACCCCACGCGGACTTTCGTGACCCGACCCGACCCGACCCGTGCGCCGCTGCCGCAGGACGTGGACGGGGAGAAGACCGAGCTGACGCCCGCCGACGCCGAGGTGCTGACCACGGTGGCCAAGCTGCTCGGTCTGGAGGTGGACGACGTGCGGCTGGTGCTGCTCTTCCGCCAGATCAACGTGCGCGGCAACATTACCGAGATCCCGCTGAAGCCGCAGGAGGTCAGCTGCTGCCGCCGCCCGCCGCCGGCTGGCCGGCCTCGTCTGGGGGCGGAAACGCCGGCCCTCCCGCGCTGTTTGTGCGGCGTGTCTCGCTAGTCGGCCGCCTTGAAACACGATAGAAGCTGGCTCCGGCGCGCACCAGCTGTTTCAGGCACCTCGGCAGTCACGTGGCACGCATCGAACGTGGCGCCTGTTTTTCCCGCGCGAATGCCCTCCGGCGCACTTTTGGCCACGTAATCTTTGTAATAGATCGTGCGGCCTCGCTGGGAAACGGATTAGCGACGGCGCGGCCGTCGAGCCAGCGAAATAAGGACGGCGCAACCATTCCTCATGCGGCCTCAAAACAACCACATTCGTCTGGAAGGGCGTCTGACGGCCCAAGTTTATGCGACGAGCTCGGTGCACGTGCGGATGAACGCGACCGTTTTTACTGCCTCGGGCGAAATGATGAAAACAGCTTAGCAAAACACAGGCCTGGTGTGTGACCGGCGGGGAGCGATGACGCTTGTGCTGTCGCACAGGCAGCGGCCGTTCAGCTATTCTCTCAAAGTCGATAAGATACTAGGTGCATTCTGGTTTAGACGGGGCGTGCGGCGCTTCCTTACGGCGTTGTGGCCCAATCCCGACAATGTATGGCCCTCAGGCGGGACGCCTACCAAATCGCAGCGCTGTTTTCAGCCTGTCTGCTTGTGTGACTGGCATCGGCCTGAGGCAGTCATCTCCAGAGCGAGCGGGCCTGGCATTTCGTCAACAGCAACGCATTCATCTAGCGCGCTTGACTATTCCGTGCCGGACGCGGGCGTCCCTCACATCCATGTGTCCGGGACACCCGGACGCCATCCGTCACCGCCACCCTCGCCACCGTCAGGCTGATGAGAACCGTCACGCCATGGCCAAGGCGCTCTACTCGCGCGCGTTCGCCTGGCTGGTGAACCAGATCAACACCTGCACCAACCCGGGCAAGGACAGTGGCGCCTTCTTGGGCGTGCTGGACATCTTCGGCTTCGAGAACTTCGGCAAGAACTCGTTCGAGCAGCTCTGTATTAACTACACCAACGAGAAGCTGCACACGTTCTTCAACCACTACGTGTTCGCGCTGGAGCAGGAGGCGGTGGGTGACGTTGCTTTGTTTCGTCAGAACGTAGGCATTGCTGCTTGGGTGGATGTCTTACTCCCGGCATCGTGGCGTTTCATGCTTTGGAAGCCACAGGGCGGAATGTTTGTAATTTGGTGGTTTGTTTACATGGGGTGTTTGCGTTGGGAGGAAACGGCCGACCAATTTGGCGATGATATATGATACGGCATGTTGGAATGGTTTCGCAGCAGACCATACAAATATCCTTGTTCAGCAGCAACATTAGACGTTCATCTGTAAAAATATAAAACTGTTTTGGATTTTACATGTGTGAACGGAACGTATTTTGAAGGTGCGGGCGTAATTTCCGTCTCCGAAATAGTGAATGGAAACGAAGGGATATTGGATGTCCTCTTTGTCTCATGAGGGCTGACAAACCCTATCAATCATTTCGTCGTCTGCTCCCTTATCACATTTTAATTGTCGGCTGCCGTAAAGCCAACCCCGCGCGTTTTGTCATGCGTGTGGGTTGGTGTGTTTGCCAGGGGTTTGTTTGTATTTCTGCTCAGTCTGATTGGTGAGACATGCTGTTTTTTTTGCGCTTTGTAGCGCCAGACGAACGGACCCCCAAACTCAGCCAGCTGACCATGCGGGGCGGATTATCAACCGTTGACGGGGCTAAAACATTGTTTTGAAGCGTGAATGGAACTAGTTTTGACTGCGACGAATTGTGCGCCGTACCTTTTACTAAAATAAGAATGTTTTTTCATAAAGAGACTCGATGCATCTGGATATGAATATCGTGTGTCACAAACATCCTGTGAAGTAGCGAACGCGTGAGATAAATGTTTTAATAACTGCAAAAATGTCCACAAACTAACTGGATTGCAAATTAAACGCGAAAAGCCCGGGAGATCTTTGTGCATGTCTTGTCCACCACCATTGACAATTTGGGTATGGATTTTGTCGTGTGATTTGTCACGGGTAGTGATGCATTTCATGACGTCATTTGATGGTCATTTAGTGATTCTCTTGCCACCGCATTTTATGTTCTATTCACCTGCGTCAGCTACTTTAGATTATCATGCTGGTGTATTGGTCCCCAGGACTTAATGTGACATAACCCCTATTAAAACCCCTTGGATTTTAATTGTTAAGTTCACGCATGCATGGGTTCGAATAGGGCCAGATCGCTTGGGCTTTGGGGTCTGAAAGTGCTGGGGCGGCCGCCATGGCGGTCGGCTTTGTCAGAATTGCTCTCTTCCCGCTGATCCATGTCTTCACTTTCAGTATCGACAAGAGGAGATAAAGTTTTCTCACATCAAGTTCTCCGACAACTCCGAATGCCTGGAGTTGATAGAGAAGCCCCCTCGCTGCATTCTCAAGCTTCTCTCGGAAGAATGCCGAATGCCAAAGGTTGGTTGATTGGAAACGTGCTGTGCATTTGTGATTGCTGTGCCTCTCATTGCCTCTCGATGCAGTCGTGAGTGTTTTGACGTTTGCCTGTGGACTGCTGACAACAACTTTCGAAGAAGCACCGATGTTGGGTGCGCCATTACCTTGCATTCATTCTCTCTAGGAGTTTTGAAACGTTTGCACAAGAGGCTTATTGTACGATGTTTGTTTTCTGGGAAACTGGATATTAATATTTATGAGTCGCTGCCATAAACTATTGTGTGCTCATAGGTGCTTTTCTAATTCAGGTAAGCTATTCGCGAGCAAAAAAGAACTGGCTGATACCGCTTGAAAGGCGAATTCTCATGCATTATTTTACGGCACAGTTGAAAGCTGTTGATGAGGAGCATTACTAGATGCGAGAGAGACCACCGCCTCGCTAAAGTATCGCAATTTGTTCGCGGCGGGGGCCTTTGGGAGCATAAACAAGTCGGACTGTTGATGCATTTCTCGCAATATTTGTTTCTGAACACGGCTACTACTCAACGTTTTCACAATCCACAAACATTTCTGATTTGCCAATGCCTGCCTGTGACATCCACGTCGTCACTCGTCGGCACTCGGTGGCAGCTGGCACGCTCGTGCGCTGGGCTTCACCCTGCACCCTCCCGCTGTATGTGACGCTGCAGGCCAACTGCACTCTGCTGCTGTCCTGACTTCTGCTGTCCGCGTGCTGTCTGCCCGCCCCGCCTGCTCCACGCATGTGTCCTATCTCTTTCCACACATCGGCTCCACTCGTGTTCCCCGGCTGTCTCACGACACGACTGTGTCCCATCCGTGTCCAGCCTCTGCCTGCACATCTGTCGTGCGCCTCCGAATATCGCTCCTGTCACACGCCTGCTCCTCCTCCCGTCGCACCAGGGCCTCTTCTGTGTCGTATTTACCCCCAGCCCAGCCGCTGCCTCCGCCTTGTGCCGTCTGCACTCCCAGCCCAGCCGCTGCCTCCGCCTTGTGCCGTCTTCGCTCCCAAACCAGCCGCTGCCTCCGCCTTGTGCCGTCTGCGCTCCCAGCCCCAATGCCGACCTCTCCTCTGAGCCGCCTTTACCGCCAGCCTCGTCTCAGCGGTGGCCTGGCTGCTGAGCCGAGCTCGGCTCGAGCCGGCCGTTCGCGGGCGAGCTCTGTCTGAACTGAGCCGGCCGGCGTGGGCGGATCGACCGGCCAGCCGATGTGCAGCCCCTCCCCTCCCCCCCCCCCCCCCCCCACCATCCCACCAGCACACCTCATACCCGCACCGCGGAGCTCCGCCGCCGGACGGACGGCGGTGGGGAGGGAGCCAGTGGTTTGATCGGGCAGGATTTAAAACCAGCTGACGCTCGGGCGCTGAACGGTGTCTGGAAGATCGGGCCAAGGTCAAAGCAGGGAGATGTCTGTGAGGCGATCTCGACCAGTTTTTTGCTGTGCCCGCCGGTAAATAAAGCGCGTACATAGTGCCAAATGGAGCGGTCATCAGCGGGTGAGACTGGTCATGTTGCGGTGCGATTGGCTTAAGTATGTAAGGCGGTGGCTTTTCTCATTAAATGTAAAGCCTTATTGGAAATGAGACTGCTTTGCCACCGCTGCCACTTGCTCATAACAATCGTGCCTGGTCGAAAAGTGGTAAGACCACCTGCATGCGCCGCCGCCGTATCAGATGTTGCTTTTCTCCAACTTACTTTACACTTGGCCTTACTTGGCTCTGGCCACATCACTGTACCTTCCGCTTGCCCACATTCGCTTAGCATTACTGACCTACCCCAACTATTTTGCATGTTTATTTCATCGTATTGTACATGCCGCTTCCTTTTGTGGATAGTCTCGGCAGTTTATTAGCAGCATTTATGTAGAGGAAATGCCGCGGGTTTGTGACTCAGCCTCCAGCCGGGTGCTATTGTAGGTTCTTTGTGCGGCGGCGAGTACGGCCGGGCTCTCGTGGTCACTAATTCGTGGGAGATGGATGGATTAAGACGGTCTGGGTTGTTAGAGGCGGCTTCTCATCGGTCGCCCGCCTGACTGGCAACTTCTAGCAACTTCCCGCGCTTCCTGACGCGGTTAAGACGCAGGGGGTGTACCCAGGCTCGGGGGCGACGGGTGCAGCAGATCGGCCAGGGGCGAGGGTGTCAGGGGCTGCAGACAACGGTGTCAAGAGGTACCTCGGATTGCAAGTCAGGCGGGCGACCGGTGAAAGGCCGCCTCCGTGCTGACGCCTGGCCCACCGTGGTGACGCCTGCCCAGACCGTGCTGACGCCCGATCCAACCGTGCTGACGCCTGACCCGACCGTGCTGAGGCCTGGCCCGACCGTACTGACGCCTGGCCCGACCGTACTGACGCCTGACCCGACCGTACTGACGCCTGACCCGACCGTACTGACGCCCGGCCCGACCGTGATGACGCCTGACCCGACCGTGCTGACGCCTGACGTGACCGTGCTGACGCCTGACCTGACCGTGCTGGTGCCTGACCTGACCGTGCTGACGCCTGACCCGACCGTGCTGACGCCTGACCCGACCGTGCTGACGCCTGACCCGACCGTACTGACGCCTGAACCGGCTGTGGTGATGCCTGACCTGACCGTGCTGGCCCCTGACCCGACCGTGCTGACACCACCGCTGCGCGGCAGGGCTCGGACGAGACGTACCTCTCCAAGCTGCACCAGGAGTTCGAGGCGCATCCGTACTACATCAAGGGCGAGGACAGGAGAAATTGGGAGTCGGAGTTCGGCGTGTGTCACTATGCTGGCCGCGTCACCTACAACATCACCGGCTTCGTCGACAAGAACCGCGACTCGCAGCAGGACCTCTTCTTCGACTTCATGAGCCGCTCCAAGAACAAGTTTGTGGAAGAGTTGGCGCAGTTCCAGGTGCGGAGAAGGCGGACAGGCACGCGCTGTCGGGTGCCAGTATCTCTCTTCGCTGTTGCCATGGCGACAGTGCGTCCAAGTAGGACGCCAACTTTTGCCGATGCGCTTGCCTAAAGCACCTTAAACCGGCACAGTCTTAACTCCAGCTGCCCGTGAGCGCGTCATATGCCGTGTTCGCGGGGCGCGTGTAACGCCGGCAGTTGGCGCACCCGGCGCTGTCTCGGTGCTCCTGCCGCCTCCCTCACCGCGGCCGAGCGGCGGAGCGTCTCGTCAGCGCCGGCCGCCGGCACCTAACGCTGGTCCCGCACCTCCGCCAGGACCTGCTGAGCTGCATGTCGCGCACGGGCACCATGAGCAGCACCGTGTCGCGCGGCACCTCCAAGGGCAAGCCGACTGTCAGCGACGCTTTCAGGCAGCAGCTGCAGGCGTTGGTCGACCTCCTGCAGAGCAGCAACCCCTGGTGCGCGGCCAGGGTCGGGACTGAGACCCCGGGATGCTGATCAGGGGCGCGGCTGCCCGGACAGGACAGACACTGGCCGTAGGCGTTCTGTCCGTAGTATACTGACTGGAAAACCGCTGCTTCGTAGTTTCCTCTGCCCTTGTTGCATCGCAGCGAGTATTCGTCGATGTCGACGTCGTGTTGACATCAAAACTTTAATGTTTAAAGGCTAGAATATTAAATTTAAGTCTTCAAAGCTTGATAGAGGTATTTCACTGACAATGCTTGCGCTTCTCGTTTCATCTTCTTGTGCTATTGAACCTCATGTGTGAACTTCTGCCGTTGTTTTGTAATCAACACATGAGGTAACCGCGCAAATGGCTTTGTGTTAACACAAGGATCATTGATGTCCTAAATCCGAGCCCTGCCTGGAAAGCTGTGTATCCACGTCAGAGACAGGCGCCGCTAGACTGTTTTTGGGTCAGAGCCATTACCCAGCCGGCACGTTGGCTTCAGGTACGTGAGGTGTATCAAGCCGAACGGCAAGAAGCAGTCTCACTGCTACGACGACCCTCTGGTGCTGGACCAGCTCAAGTACCTGGGCATGCTCGATATCATCAAGATTCGCAAGCAGGGCTTCCCCATCCACCTGCCGCTGCTGGAGTTCTGCCAGCGGTACCAGTGTCTGACGGGGCGTCGGTGGAAGCAGCAGACGGCGGCGGAGGGCTGCAGGTCAGTCTGGAGTTGCGCCAGGGATGCCAGTGTTTGACATGACCCCGATTGGGGCAGCAGGTAGCGGCAGTGGACCGCAGGTTTGTACTGAGTAACGCCGCACTACAAATTCGTGACGGGAGGGCCGCAGTTTATCAAGGTACCAGTGGCGCCACACTGCAGCTTCGACTCGTTTACAGATAGCTATCCACGAGTTTTACCCAATGTACTTAAAAAACCTGGTGACAGAGCTGTTCAAAGAAACTTTCAGGAGACACCAGCTTGCGCAAACAGAAAGTTTCCATCGCAAAACATCACTAGCGCATCCGGTACGCTGTAGGCGGTCTACAGCCTGCCCGTGTTCAGCGGTGACCAGCACAATGCTCGGCTGTAGCGCCGCGGTCCCACAACTAGCGAGGTTCGCGGAAGCCAGAGCCGGTGTCCCGTGTCGATGCTCACGCACCGCGACCCCGCCCCGCCTGCTGACCACTGCGCTCGGCGGGCGGCAGGTTCATCATGAAGCAGCACGACCTGCCGGAGCGGGAGTGGCAGATGGGCAAGACCAAGATGTTCCTGCGCCACTGTGTGCACGAGCCGCTGGAGGACAAGCGCACGGCGCTGGTGCACCGGTCGGCTGTGCGCGCGCAGAAGATCTACCGCGGCTACGTCCGGCGGAAAGGTGCGTCTGATGCCCTGCGGAGCAAGGAGCTGGTGCGGCGTTTCCCAGCCGGGTGGCGCGTAGAGGGTTGCATGGTGTTTTGGTTGGGTTGGCATGACTGTAGTTCATCAATCGCAGGCATTGATTGTATGCTGCGTTTGCTCATTTTTGTGATGTCGGGAGGCAGAAATGCGCACTGTTAAGCTGGAATGGCGACAGTCTAGCCTCAGATTTTGGAATTGGTCAGAATTTTGCGACTTTGGAGGTATTTGTCAGGATCAAGCCGACACGAAAGCCTCTGCGGGAGCCTCTGTGAGAGACACGTAATGTAGTGCTATGCTACCTACCATATAACCTATGGGATTGATGTCAGTAATCATTATTCAAAATATAGCGTCCATGCGTAATAATAACATGAGTCTCAGAAAAGCTCGTCCTCAAACGTATTTCTACATGGTACCACAAACGGCAGTGGCGTGTGCTGACGTGCTGGTCTGCGCTCATGCGCTGATGGCGTGCGTGCTCTACCGACGAGACGTCTCGGCACCGCCCCCACCGGCGGTGGTGCTGCTGTACGGACTGTCCAGGGAGCCCCCCCCCCCCCCTCCCCCCCCCCTGACGGTGCCCGGCCGCCGCAGCGTACCGGGAGAAGCTGGAGGCGGTGCGCTGCCTACAGCGTCACTACCGCGCCAAGCGGCAGCGGCTGCTGTTCTTGCGGCAGCGGCGCGCCGTGGTGGTGCTGCAGAGCCACCTGCGAGGCATGTTCGCCAGAGAGGTGAGCGGGCCACCCGGGCGGCGCTGACAGCTCAGCGGCGCGCGGGGACGGGGCACGGCAGCGGCGGCTGGCTGCCGGCGGGGAAGCTAGCCGCGGCAGTCGGGTCTGGTCTGTCGGGCAGACTTCGGCGCGCGGAGGTTGTCGCCAGCACATGCACCCAGTAAAAGCTTCAGCCGAATGGCCAACGTGGCGACAGTGCGGTTCATGTCGCCCTCAGCCCGGTCAAATGTGTTTGTGGTAAATAAGTGGAAGCACTGCTGCCGCCAAAATGGTGGTAGTCCTAGTGCTAGCGCTTCTGGAATTGTGCCGATAAGGTATTCACGCTACGTAGACGCAAATTGTATCACTTCAGTTTTGATGCTCCTTGTCCGCGGACCTTCTGCCACAAGCTGGCAGCTCGGCGCCACAGCCTGCTCCCGTTGCCATGGCGACCCGGGCTGGGTTGCAGGTGGCCGCCGCGCTGCGTGAGATGAGAGCCATAGAGGAGGAGCGCCAGCGGCGGGAAAAGCTGGAGGAGGAGAAACGAAAAGAGGAGGAGCGACGCCTGGAGATGGAAGAGGAGGCGCGCAAACGGCTGGAAGACGAGGAAAAGTATGACAGGCTTCGCGGAACTTGACTGCTGCTTTGCTTGCAAACGTTGCCATACGGCCGGCCGAAAATATTTCAGGAGCGCGATTGGGGGCCGTTGCCCGGTTTGAGTCCGCCCAGTGTTTTACTGGTGCGCTACGTTCGTGACGCGGAGCGTCGGGAAACCCCACCGCCGCCCGGCTAAGACCGCTTGCTTGCGCCTCGCGCTGGCTTAAAAGGTTGTATCGCTGACACGGCCGAGGCCCACTGGCGGGCTTCTCTCATTGAGAGCGCACGGTAACCGTGTGTCCTCGATCTGCTTCTAGGCCGCCGCCGCCCGAGGCCCAGCAGAATGGAAAGTAAGTGCACCTGGAGCAGGAGAATCGCAGCAGAGGCTTCCAGCTTCTGGCCATACGGACCGAGTGTTACTGCAATGGTGACGGGGACGGCGATGTCCATGTTGAAATGACGATCTAGCCTGCCACTGTGTTTGATGGCCTCTGCATGACAAAACGTGATAATTTTATTTTTATATAGTATCTGTCTCAGATACGATGTAATATCCAACAATATATATATATATATATATATATATATATATATATATATATATATATATATATATATATATATATATATATATATATATATACATATATATGCATATATATATATATATATATATATATATATATATATAACTACAAGATACTCTGAGTGTTGCGCAACCTGTAGATAGTCATGGTAAAAATGTATGACTTCTTTGTATGCTGTATAGGGTTCCGTTGACGACTTGGCAGTCTTTGTGCAAATGATGTCGCATCGTAGTTTTGTCATGATTCATATTCCGTGATGCAAAAGATACCGAATAACTATGATTTCTGGACAAAGCCCAAGCCTATCCTAATAAGGTGGCTTATCGCGCTTACTGCAGCGAAGTGCAGCGAAGCGGCGCGTTTGCTGGTTTCCTGATGATTCATTATCCTTGGTGTTAATATGAAAAATGACCGTGTTCCTCCAACGAAGCTCCCAACCTTACCACAACAAGCTGGCGGCACCATTAAGCGCAATGGACTAACACGACCAAGGCATGCCCATCTCGAGGTGGTTTGCTTTTTTTTAGCGGCGCGCCAGAGTTGAGCTCTGAGCGTAGGCTGATCAGCCATGAACTCGATGATACTTGTCGCCCACCTTGAGGACAGCTGTGAATACGTTGTTGGACGTGATTGGTCTTTTCCGCCGCCGCGTCTGCTCCCCGTCTGCTCACTGTCGAAGCGCCCCCCTCTGACGGGCGGGAAGGGTGGACCGCTGAACCGACGGCCATTCGCGCCGCGCAATGCAACATCTCGCTGCTCGTCGCAGGCTGATCCAGGAGGAGATCGACGAGATGACCGAGATCGCCGACCACCTGAACATGAAGCTGTCGGCGGCGGAGGCACAGCCAGGCCGCGCCAAGTCCTCGGTCTCCGTCGACCTGGACAACCTGTTCTCCTTCCTCAGCGACATGAACTCGGGACAGAGCAGCGTTGTCAACGAGATCCGCGAGAACCTGGAGGAGCTGGAGCAAACCGTGCTGGTGGAGGTCAGTAGACGGTCCGGTGGAGGTGGTAGAATAGGCCGGTGGAGGCGGTAGAACGGGTCGGTTGAGGTAGCAGGATGGGAAACAAGTCATTGAAGTTGTAGTTAAATTGGTCAAAGACAATCGAACTTCTTGGGGGAAGTCGGCGGAGTTAATGCGGGGCTGGCGTAGATCAGTCGAATCATCAGTGAGTTCGGTATAATCGGGTTGGCGAAGGTCGATGAAATGGGAACTGAGATGCGCGTGTTATCAGAAAAGCCTGACTGAAATGATCTGGCCAAGGCAAGCAGAGCAATGTGCCATAAAGTTCATAATAACGGAGTGGTCAGAGCCCAGTATTCTCGTGTTGCTGCATGTTGCTGCGTGTTGCGTGGTGCGTCTGTCGAGCGACGATTTGGCCTGTATTGTTTAGTAGGACGCAGCGTTTGAGACGAGCAGAGGGAGGCGAAGAGCTGGGGGTAGCCGTTAAAGGGAAAATATGGTGATCGGCACGACCCGAGCCTAGTTTCAGCTGGCCTCAGCAAGGCCACACATAACACAGTGTTTGATCGTTCCCGGGGCGTCTTCCGAGCGGCCGGTGGTGTTCGGCTCGTGCCATCCCTCAGAGCCCAGCTGTCACCCGGCCGCGGCGTCCGCCGGCCGTTAACCGCCGCCGCCCGCCGCCAGATGGACGAGCTCTCCGACCGGCGCGCCGCCGAGCCGCGCCGCTCGGCCGCCTCCACGCCCACGCTGCCGCACCCGTCGCTGCTCCCGGACGACGCGTCGGAGCCCCCGGCGCGCGCCGCCGAGCCGGCCGAGCCGTGCGCGCTGCCGCCGCCGCCGCCGGCGGCGCCCGGCAGCGCCGCCGAGCTGGGCGACGTCATCCTGCCGCCGCCCGGGGAGGAGCTGTACGGCAACCGGCCGGGCGGCGTGCCACGCCCGCCGCCGGTCGAGCGTATCCCCAAGGAGCCCATCTACGAGAGCATCCTGGTCAACAACAAGAAGGCGCCGAGCGACCCGGAGCCGGCGCCGCCGGCCATCCCGTCGGTGCCACCGCCGGGGCCGCCGCCCGGTCTGCCGGCGCACGCCGGTCTGGAGAAGGTGCAGCGCGCCGCGCGCCACCGGCTGCGCAGCGGCTCGCCGGGCGGCCGCGCCCGCATCGCTAGCCAGGCGCAGAGTCCCAGCCGCAGTCGCAACGGCAGTAGGAACGGCAGCCGCCGCGCGTCGGTAAGTGGGGCTGTAGCGAGTGGCGGCGATGTTTCATTTTGTTTCGTTTCATGCTGAAACTGCAGGATTTCCGCCCGGATAAGCGTAATGGTAATTAATTTAGTGCCGATGGGCGCCGTCGTAAAATATCAAGGTGATTCTCATTTGCGTCTTTCTGACCATTGTGTCGGGGATCACATGTGCATGTCTTTGCCTGCTTTACCCCACACCTGCCGTCGGTCTACCGCCCGCACGGCTGTCCTCCTGGGCTTAGTGACGGTAACCCCGCTGACCTGTCCTCCTGGGCCCAGGGACGGTAATCCCGCTGACCCCCGCTGACCTGTCGCAGATATCTCAGGAGGAGGACGAGCGCGAGCAGCGGCGCCGACAGCGCGTTGAGCGCAAGCTGCAGGAGCTGCAGGAGCTCGAGCGGCTCGATGACGCTAAGCCCGAGCAGGAGGAGCACCACGACATGATCGAGTTTGCTGAGCGCTACTTCAACATGCACGAGCGCGTGCCAGAGGGTGAGGCCGCTCTTCGACCGGGCACCGCTCGATGACGGGAGCCACCGAGAGACCACGTGGCGAGGTTTCACTGGTATGACGGGAGCTGCCGAGAGATCACGCTGTGGAGTATCGGTGGTTTGACGTGATTTACCGAGGGACCATGCGGCGAGGTTTCAGCGATTAATCGCGTTTGGCCATCGATCCATTGCTGATGACATTTTTTGGCAAGCGAACGGCAAACAAAGGATAAAACGAACATGTGAGCAACCGAACACGATAAAACGCAGGCGCGTATTTGTAACTCGCGTGGCGCTGAGTTTGTTCTACAGCTACGGCCTCCGGGTTTCGTGACGTTCGCGGAGAGCGCGTGACCTTGCGAGCCAGCCAGGTGTATGCGACATCAGGGGGACTGGCCGGTGACGCCCCAGCTCCGGTGACCGCGTCCCCGTGCTGCCCACAGGCGCCATCATCTCGACCCTGAGCCGCCGTAGCCGCGCCGGCGGCTCTGTCGACTATCTGCCAAAGTATGAGATGATCACGTACACCAAGGCGCCGCACATACCCACCTCGCATGTGCACATGTACGACCCGGACGACGTGGACATTGCCTGCGCCATATTCAAGGTACGCGCCTCCACGTCACCGCGATGGGAGGCTCCGGACTGAGGCTCCGGTGGCGTGCGGTAGTGGACTTGATGGGAAGGGAGAAGCGCCCGCTGGTATTGGGTTGTGGTGGCAAGGAGCTGGCGGCTCTTGACAGTGCTGAGAGTCTGGAAGTTTCAGGTAATGTTTTCAGATGCCCTTCCGTGGAAGAGAAGGTGATGATATCGAGTTTTGGATGAACTCGCTTCAGATTCTTTGTGATCGTCAGACGCCCTATTTCGGGGTGCGCGTGACAATTGTGAAGGACAGCCTCGACACGATCTTGCGAAAAAACCATGGCGGCTTGTGTTTGCGCCGCATGGTACTGATGCAGTTATACGTTTTGTGATGTCTCCAGGACCTGCAGCAATATCTCAAGGGCGATATGAAGCCGGAGACGGAGATTAAAACCATTCAGACAATCGTGCAGCACGGAATCGAGCGGGAGGAGCTCAGGAATGAGATCTACGTTCAGGTAATTTCTCTCCTACATTGTAGCATTTGTTTTCACTGTCCGCCATATGGCTTCTCGGTTGAAGCATGTTGCAGGCGGCCCTCCAGTGATGACTGTGGGCCTTTGAACCAGAAGACAGTCCGTGTTGCACAGCGGATTGCGACAAAGTGATCCGAAAGTAGGCATCGTGGTGTGTTGATTGGTGCGCTGGTGAGGCGTCACGTCGGCTTTGCGCGAGTGCGCCGCAAGATCCCCGGACCAAGGTTAACCCCTGTTATTGATTTGAGGCCACCGAGCGAGACCAGTCGTAATAACAGGCTGTGTCACGTGTACCGCCGACCTGCTGTTGTAGGAAGCGCATATCTTCATGCATCGATTTCACTAGCCGTCAGTGTTTGCCTTCAAACACGCAGCTGGAGTGGCGGATTGGCTTGTAATGACTAACCGATGATATGGTCATTGTCTGTCGGCAGTGTATACGACAGATCACCAATAACCCCATACAGGAGTCGCTGGACCGGGTCTGGCTGCTCCTGTCGCTCTGCGTCGTCTCGTTTCCGCCGGGCAAAATACTCTTCAAGGTACGTGGCATTCCCCTGAAGTGCGTATTGCGCCGTGCACTGAAGTGCGCGCGCCCGGATGAAGTTCTAGCTCAAGTGCTGCATTGTCGGTCGCCGGCCTTAGGAGCGGCTGTTTGCTCGGGAACTTTCCAGACACGTCAGACCTACGTGCTCCGACTGATTGGCTTCCATAAGAACTTGGCGTCGCTGCTCGCACCGGCCTTTCGTGGGCTGCCACACTGATCATCCCGCTCTCCCGTGTCCAGTACTTCGTGTGCTTCCTGCGCAAGTCGCAGTACTCATCGGACAGCCGAGCGCTCCAGTACGTCCAGTGGTGCCCTGGAGAAACTGCAAGCACACGCACGTGACCTGCCGGAAAAACCCGCCCAGCACAGTGGAGGTTACGGTGAGCCCCGTCACTGGCCGTCGGATGTGCCGTGGTGTCTGGCGCTAACCCGCCCAGAGCAGTGAAGGTTACGGTGATCCCGTCACCGGCCGTCGGATGTGCCGTGGTGTCTGGCGCTAACCCGCCCAGAGCAGTGGAGGTTACGGTGATCCCGTTACCGGCCGTCCGATGTGCCGTGGTGTCTGGCGCTAACACCCGCATAGCAGTGAAGGTTACGGTGATCCCGTCACCGGCCGCGGATGTGCCGTGGTGTCTGGCGCTAACCCGCCCAGAGCAGTGGAGGTTACGGTGATCCCGTCACCGGCCCGGATGTGCCGTGGTGTCTGGCGCTAACCCGCCCAGAGCAGTGAGGTTACGGTGATCCCGTCACCGGCCGTCGGATGTGCCGTGGTGTCTGGCGTAACCCGCCCAGAGCAGTGGAGGTTACGGTGATCCCGTCACCGGCCGTCGATGTGCCGCGGTGTCTGGCGCTAACCCGCCCAGAGCAGTGGAGGTTACGGTGAGCCCGTTACCGGCCGCGATGTGCCGTGGTGTCTGGCGCTAACCCGCCCAGAGCAGTGGAGGTTACGGTGAGCCCCGTCACCGGCCGCGATGTGCCGTGGTGGTCTGGCGTAACCCGCCCAGAGCAGTGGAGGTTACGGTGATCCCGTCACCGGCCGTCGGATGTGCCGTGGTGTCTGGCGCTAACCCGCCCAGAGCAGTGGAGGTTACGGTGATCCGTTACCGGGCCGCCAGATGTGCCGTGGTGTCTGGCTCTAACCCCGCCAGAGCAGTGGAGGTTACGGTGAGCCCCGTCACCGGCCGCCAGATGTGCCGTGGTGTCTGGCGCTAACCCGCCCAGAGCAGTGGAGGTTACGGTGAGCCCCGTCACCGGCCGCCAATGTGCCGTGGTGTCTGGGATCTGGTGCTGACCCGCCCTGTCGAAGTGGCAGGCTGCCGCGCCGTTACCCGTGGGCTCGTGCTCGTAACGTGCAGGCGACGCTGTAAGAGATGTCGTTGGTTGTTCTGTCGTGGACGCCATGCTCGCCGATCGCCTCAGCGGTGCTGGGCGTTGCTGGGCTGTGGACGACTTAGCCGACACTGACCTTCAGCAGTGGTGGGTCCGGTGACAGTGTCGGCTCGCTCCAGGCGATGAAGAGGCTGGGCACCATCGTGTGCCGCTTCTTCTTCCTGGACGGCATGACCAAGGCGGTGGACGTGCACCCGATGGACACGGCTGCCGATGCCATGACCAAGATCGCTGACAGGTGGGTGGCCGAGCCGCTGGTCCCGCCTTTGAGGCGAAGCGCCGGCTACACACATCGGGACGATTCTCGGGAATTTGAACGGTGTAAAGAGATTTGCTGGCTGCATGCGAAGCCGTTGCGTGAGTAAGGTCTGTTGTGCTTGATTCCGCGCAAAGGAGGCACTGTGCCGCACGGCGAAGAGTCTTGCTGTACCTTGCGCCAGTCGCCCCCCAACTCAGCGTTCTCGCCCTAACTCCGCGCCCCGCCAACACCATACCCCCCTCTCCGCCCTCCGCTGCTGCCGTGACCAGCTGCCCCGTAACGTGCGCCACTCCCTCTGGTGGCAGGATCGGCCTCTGGAACCTGGACGGCTGGGCGGTGTTCCAAGCGACGGCGGAGGGCGAGCATCATGTCAAGTCGCACGAGTACCTGTATGACGTCATCTCCTCATGGGAGATGTGAGTCGGTGGCGTCGGATGCGCGCGCGAGACATCGGCTCTCTAGCCGTGTGCCTCTGAAACGCACAGATGACACGTGGTGGATCAGATTAAGGTCATCCATCCACTTATTACGCGATATACGATTTCGTTTGTGTTGTTCCTGGAATGGCCCCATATTATGAGTGTTGTAGTGGAGTGAGTCGGTCCCCCAGCCTTTGCTTCATTGTGCCTTATCGCGCATTCATTTACTGATCGTTGCCTTCTTTCTAAATCCCTTCTGACGTTCAGCCGCGTCATCTGCTGTGAACACGCAGCGAACGAACTTAGCACGACGAGATGTGTGCAGATGAGGCCTCTGTCTTCCCCCCGCGGCCATCCTGTGTCGTGGGCTCTCTTCAGTGTCTCCCACAGCTCCCTTGCCCTTTGACGTCCCCGCCCTCCGGCCAGTGGGAAGCAGCAGCGGGCCCTCTCCGTTCCCCCCTCGCCCCTCTGACCCCCCGCCCTCCGGCCAGTGAGAAACAGCAGCGGACCCTCTCCAGCTCCCTCCCTCTGACGCCCCCCCCCCCCCCCCCGCCCTCCGACCAGTGAGAAGCAGCAGTGGCCCACTCCAGCCACCCGCCCTCTGACGCCCCGCCCCTCCGGCCAGTAAGGAGCAGCAGTGGACCCTCTCCGGTCCCCCCCGCCCTCTGACGCCCCTGCCCTCCGGTCAGTGAGAAGCAGCAGTGGCCCACTCCAGCCACCCGCCCTCTGACGTCCCTGCCCGCCCTCCGGCCAGTAAGAAGCAGCAGTGGACCCTCTCCGGTCCCCCTCGCTCTCTGACGCCCCTGCCCTCCGGTCAGTGAGAAGCAACAGCGGACGCGGGCCGAATCGCCCGCCAGCTCGCCCATGCTGCGCCGCCAGTCGGCCGTCGGCGTCGGCGCCGGCGAGAACCGCTTCCTGTTCAAGAAGCGGCTCTTCAAGTCCACCCGCGAGATCCCCAACGACCCGGTCGAGGTCCACATGCTCTACTCGCAGGCCGTGTACTCGGTGGTGCAGGTATGAACGCGGTCCCAGCGCAAGGTGCTTCTTTTGTTCAATAGTCCATTTAAATGGTTGGATTTTCTTCGATCCATTTGCATAAGTCGAAGCCGTGAGATTGGAGAGGGTTCATGCTTGAGAAATACGGCAGTAGCCGCCCGACGTCGTGGTTCGGCCCACGTGTTTCTGTTTTCGGTAAGCAAGTCGTGTGTTTGGTTTGGTGGCGCTGGGTCCGCTGTGGCGAGAGGTCGACCTCTGCCTGTGCCGCAGTCGTAGTCGTAGTCGCATTTGTGAATCATGGCACTGATGCTAATTTTTGCCCGCGGCGTATTCATGAATCGATTGTGATTGGTTGTGCAGTGGCATGTTATTCTTGAATTCATCATCATTACATTCTTGAATTCCTTCCCGGTTTCGAGCCTGTCTTATGATAGGACAACGATGATCTCTCAAACTGCTGCTCTATCGTATCAGATCAGTCGCATCAATTCATCTTGCGCGGGGCAGTTATAATGCGCATAGCGCTTGTACAAGAGTGTTTGTAGTCGGTGCATGTTGGCGATCACTATGTTGGGTTTACCACCCCTGCGATACGCCGGTGTTGTTTGACCGTGCTGCCATCTCCCCGCCCGTTTGCAGAGTGACAGTTTGCCGGTGAGCGAGAAGGTGGCGCTGCAGCTGGCCGGTCTGCAGGCCCAGGTTCTGCTGGGTGACCCCAAGGACAAGTACGACCACTACTCGGACGTGGCCACCTTCCTGTCGCAGCGCGTGGCCTCCACCAAACGGCGCCCCGACTGGGTCAGTATCGCTGGACGACCAGCCCACCGTTCAACCAGTCGCGACGCAGCAGACCAGCTGCCACGATACATGTGCTGCTCGATACGCAAGCTGCTCCGTAACCGTTAGTTTTTTTGCGGGAAGGGCTGCGGCCAACAGCTCAGGTCACTTAACGTCCAAATGTCTCCCTCGATTGCTACGGGGATGAGACGTCCATGGCTGACGGTACTCTAACTGGGGTGTCTCTGTCCCGCAGGTGCCGATCATCGCGCATGCGCACCACCAGTACGGCTCGGGCAAGTCGGAGCTGGTGGCCAAGATCTGGTACCTGTCTTGCGTCATGCAGTACCCGGTGTGGGGTACCACTCAGTTCCCCGTGAAGTACAAAGGCTACTGGCCGTACGGTGGGTGACGCTCGCATGGGAAAAGACAGCGCCCATCAAATATGGCGCACTGTTTTCCTGAGTTATTTCTGGGATTGTTGCGGAATGTTTTTGCCGTCATGTTAAACGTCTGCGTTCTGACCTACAGTAACTGCTTCGTAGATGGGCAGTGCATCACTTTGACGCGGCGCACGACTGTGCTACAATCATGGTCAGTGAACTCGTTCCATGCGAGCCGCCAAGTTTGTGAACGAGGGAACACCGGCAGCCCATCTCCCGCGCGTGTCAGTCAGAATCTGACACCTCCCCCCCCCCCGTTGTCACCACTCACAGGCAACAACCTCAACATGGGCATCAACTGCGAGGGCATCCTGTTGATCCGGCCCGACGACAAGTACGTCATCGTCGAGTTCCCGTACGGCGACGTCGAGTCGATCCTGCTGGACCCCTCGGACGACTTCATCACCGTCAACCTGCACCGCAACCACGACGCTCAGCGGGTGTTCGTGTTCGAGGCGCGCTGGAAGGACGAGATGGGCGCGCTGATCGCCAGCTACTCGCCCGAGCACGCCACCTGGATCCGCGAGGTGGACAACATCAGCCGCAGGGTGAGCGTCAGCCGTCACAGCGCTCGGCAGGGCTCGGTGCTGCAGACGTCAGGGGCGGGGGGGGGGGGGGGGCAGACCTGGTCACGGCGCTCGGCAGGGCTCGGTGCTGCAGACGTCAGGGGCGGGGGGGGGGGTCAGCCGTCACAGCGCTCGGTAGGGCTCGGTGCTGCAGACGTCAGGGGCGGGGGGGGGGCAGACCTGGTCGCGGGGGGGGGGGCAGACCTGGTCGCGGGGTTAGGCGGTCTGTTTCAGTCGTGAAACCTGTGATGCAAACAGGATAGCGATGTCGGACGGACGGTGATGGAGATAAAAACACTACGCGTGTTACGAGGTTCCTGCTGATTATGATCATATATATATATATATATATATATATATATATATGTATATATATATATATATATATATATATGTGTGTGTGTGTGTGTATATGTATATATATATATATATATATATATATATATATATATATATATAAACAATGATAATAATAATACGCAGCTTGAAACGCGCCTTTACTTTTCTATCTGCCAGCCACTGTCATTATGTGACGGGCGAACTGACTGCGCCGCAGATTCAGCACATCACAAACGACGACCGGATACGACTGCACTATAACGTGGTGCAGTGCCGGAGGAATCTGGTCGACGCTGACATGATGAGGAAACCCGTCGACTTGGCAACGTCCAATTTCTTCAAGAACACGCTGAGAAGGTGCGTCGTTGTCTTTTGCCCACTTTGCCGATATCGAATGGGGTTTCTGGAAGTTGTGCTCCTGTGGTTGCATCGCTGGTGTGGGAGCAGTTAATGCTGCCTGGACGTGGGATGAGCCTCTCATGACCCGCTGTGATTTCGAAAGTTGTGATGGCCAAATGGTCAGCATCTTCGGCTCCCACGTGTGGGTGTAGGTTCGAATCCCGGTTACATCAGAGTCCCTGAGCGCTAATATAGCCCTGCAGTCGCTGCCCCCCCCCCCTCCCCCTCCCCTCCCAAGAGGGAAGTGGTGAGCCAGCGGCGCTCATCGCGTTCCCTGCTTACAAATAATGTGTAGCTGCGAAGTGTACGTCTTTCACATATTTGACCTTTCAAGTGCCCCGTAAGACGTTGAGAGTAAGTCAGTGAGCAATGTTGGCCACTTTTACGCGACATTCACATTTGCCTCGGGATCAGGCTCATTAAGTCAACAGTTTTACATGTATCTCAACGTATTTTCCCCCCGGCACCTTACCCGCGCCCTCCTGCCGCCCGACGGCACCTTACCCGTGCCCTCCTGCCGCTCGACGCTGCAGGTTCAACAAGGCCAAGCTGGAGAAGCTGCGCCAGACCGCGCCGAGCGGCGGCAGCGGCGACGGCACCGACGCCTACAAGGGCTTCGACCGCGTCTTCTGGGGCTTCAGCCGGCAGCCGATCTCGCAGGGCTTGAGCCGCATCGCCGAGCCCGAGGTGGAGGAGACGGCCGTGCAGATCTTCCAGGCCGTGCTCATGTTCTCCGGCCTCGTGCACAGCGGTGAGCGGCGGCGCGCGGCCCGGCCGGCGCTAGCGGTCCGAGCGGCCCCAGCGGCCCTAGCGGTCCGGGCGGTCCGGGCGGTCCGAGCGGCCCGGGCGACCCCAGCGGTCTGTGACCCACGACTGACCCAGACGATGCCCGGTTGTGTGGAGGCTCGCGGGTTGTGCGGGGACGCGTTTGTTGGGATATGCGGTGTGCCCGCTTCTTAACGCCGTTTTTGTCGGTGTTGCGACTAGTGATGCTAACGTAAGTGTTGCTTCAGGTGGTGGTAGAATAGCCGGCAGTACTTGCTGAAGGTGTATACTTGGCAAGCAGTGGTCACAACCAGGCTCCATATCCCTTCATGACGGGACATGACATGCGTAATAGCCGTCAAAACAGCGTCTCCTTTTTGTTCTCTTGGTTTTGTAAGAACTCCGATGCATGATGCCTCCAAACTTTGAGATGAAAGTGAATAGCCCTGTTTTTAGCAGTCTGAGCCATCCTCATCGAGCGCACTTCGTTCTCTGCCCCCGGCCCGGAGGGCACAGCTGATGCCTTTCTTTCTCTCGTGACGTCACAGACCAGCTGTCAGACAACTCAAGCGACGAGAACAACGTGCGCCTGGTGCAGGGCATCGTGGACCGGGCCATGAAGAACGAGACGCTGCTGAACGAGCTGGCGCTGCAGCTCATCAAGCAGACCACGGGTCAGTGCCCGGACAGCGTCAGTTGGCCGCCAGGCTGCCACTGACAGCAGTTGGCATATCATCAGCGTCAGGCTCGTAGCTGGAGGCGACGCGTGGAAGCCTTTGCCCGGGCGGGATTCAGATGAGCATGAACTGCAAGGCTAACGGGATGTCATACCTGAGTCAACGATTGGATGCGTGCGAATGAAGCGTTTGACTGCCCTCAAGAGCTGCTCCCGTAGTGCACGGGATACTCGCTGGGCACTGATAAATCACTTGAAAAAGCGGATCTATGACAGGCAGACAAACGTCACACTTGACTATCGCGTGTAAAGATTCGTTGCGTTGTTCATGGCGTTGATATGTAGGTGTATACCACACCGGCGCTGCCACCGCGACACCTCGCCTCCCCGTCGCGGCTGAGCTTGACCCCCCCCCCCCCCCCGGGCAGATCACCCGGACCCCAACTCGCGCGTCAACCGGCGTCACTGGTCGCTGATGGCGCTGCTCTGCTCGACGGTGGTACCATCTAATTTGGCCACCAAGAAGTATTTGGCTGCTCACCTGACCAAATGCGCCAGCGACTACGTCACCGAGGAGGGCAAGTACGCCCGCTTCGCAGAGAAGGTCAGTCAGCGCCAGAAGGTCAGCGCCATCAGCGACCATCAGTGCCTCACGCGGGGGACAGTGTGGTGCAGTGGCATGAGGGTGTAAAAGGATTTGTTGTGATTTGGTATGTTAGTCTGAATACGTTGTGCGACACGCTGAGTCTTCCTCATCCAAAAGTGCGTTCAAAAAGCTGAAAGTCTCTTTCAACGACGCTGATTGTGCAAGACAGCAGTTGTGCTTGGCTTGCTTCGATAGCAGCCGTATAAAGCATTGAAGTGGTCCCCCTCGACCGCGTGTACCGCGCTTGCGGTTATTGAATTTACAAAAAAAACTTTTGTCTGCCTGATTTGTCTCCCCCAGACCCCAGACATTGTCTGTACAAGACACTTATCTGTCGCCGGAATACCGTGTACCAGACGCCGAACTGTCCGCCCCGGCAGTGTCTGTACTAGGCGCTGAACTAGTCTCTTCCTCCGACAGTGTCTATATCAGGCACGGAACCGCGTGATGCAGACTGAATAACTGAACTGAATCATTCGAGCCTCCGGTGTGGTGTGTGGTAAACGGTGAACCTGCCGCTGGTCCTCAGTGTGCGTACAGGACAGAGCTCTGACCTTGTCTCCGCCCGGCAGTGTGCGTACAGGACTCTGGACTTGTCTCTGTCCGGCAGCGTTCGTACAGGACTCCGACCTTGTCTTCGTCCCACAGTGTCTGTACAGGATTCTCACCTTGTCTCCGTCCCACAGTGTCTGTATAGGACTCTGACCTTGTCTTTGTCCAACAGTGTCTATACAAGACGGTCAACTCCCGGCGTCGCCAATGGGCGCCGTCGCGCCAGGAAGTGCTCTGCACTGTCAACTGCCGACCCATACACGCGCGCTTCCACTTCATGGACGGCCAGTTCCACAGCGTGGAATTCGAGGCGGCGGCCACGGCCGGCGAGGTTCTTCAGCTGGTCAAGGAGAAGATCGGCCTCAAGGCCGACTCGAAAGGTGAGTCCGTCACTGGTTGGCGAGGCCGGCTGAGGACGGCCGTGGCCTCCACGGTTTGGGCCACTGCCTTGCGTGACGTTACTTGGCATGCCAGTAGATGTTCACCGGCTGCCAACGTTTGGACCACGCTTGCTAAGACCAGTACACGGATGGACCAGTAGTGTGCCCGCTGCTGTTCCTGCCTCTTGGGCTGCATCAGTTCGACCACAAGTGCTCCCTCGTGTGAGCGTGGCCATTAGCTGGTTATTGGACACTTTGCCACAGTCCGCCTCCTGGCCAGGATGTCCGGTGCCAGCGGGACGGGTCGGTGACCTCAGACAGGAATGTCGCCTGCCGTGCCTTGATCCGTATGTCGACATGCGGATGCATTTTATTAGAAACATCTGAAACCCCGTTGTTTTATTTGCCAATTTTTGCGAATAAGTAACGATGATAATACCTTTTCATAAAGTGCGGAGAATTTTCCTACGTTTGTTAAAATTATAAAGGCACGATGTGCTTCCATCGGAACTGGTGCCTTCTATAGGTGAATGTAGCGGAAGTTAGCCCACATTCAGCCCACATTCAGCCCAGCCCAAATTATAGATGAAAGCTTTTTCATATGAACTACTTTTATTCGTTCCGCAGCTGTCTTGAAAGTCACGTATTCTCATCATTTATTGCTAATGTAACAGTGGTATGGAACAAAAAAGAGGGCATGACACGAGTCCTGTCGCCAGAAACCGTCCCGTAACTTCGCAGCTCCCCGCTGCAGCCTGTACCGAACGCAGTATCAGCTTAGTTGCCACAAGCCGTCGTCAGCCGCCGACACCCGTTGACGCCGGACCTGGAAGTGGTTTGGAGTTTAAGGGCGCGTCGGCGTCGAGGCCATTTTGCGCTCACTGTCGCCGGGCCTGCCGCGTGGCGAGGAGCGGAGTCCCGACACACCGTTTGTGTTCTCTTGCACGGCCGCGCGCTGCTGCTCAGCGTCGCGAGATGTGTCGAGCGCGGACGTTTTACGGGCCTGCTGTAAATCGCCGGCGTCCGGCGGCGGCGCCGCGGCTCGAATCAAAATGCAGCTGTGCTGATGCCAGAGAGGCTTTGTGGATTGTAAAAACGGGACGCTTGCTGGTGTTTCGTCTGTGAGATAGAGCGCAGCAGCAAAGCGTCTCGAAACGCGTTCTCGCTGAAAAGCATTTACATCGTGCGTGACCAAACTAAAAACGCGAGCTCCAAAGCCCCCTCCTCTGGACGTTTGTCTCGACACGGGGCCGGGGCTAGCTATGCTGTTATGAGTTGTAGGCTCTTGATAGGTATTACATATCGTGACCCTGTGGCTCCCCCGTCTCCCCCCCCCCCCCCCCTTCTCCTTCCGTGGTCTGATAGAATATTTAATCCCCCGATACCTGCGTCTAATTGCCTGTGCTGTTTTCTCGTTTTGGGGAGAGGGCATCACTCAGCGTCTTCCCGTGACTGGACATCTCAGCCAGGCGATACGTTTGTCATTTGCCATTGGCTAAGGGCCGGCCATTGGCGAGGTGCTGTGAGCGCGCAGCCTAACTGGGCTTGACATTGCTCAGCTTGATTTGCTAATAACTGATCAGCGCTAACCATTGTGCTCATTGCAATGGTGCCGTCTCGTCCCAGCGGGCATTGAGCTCATCGCGGACGCTGAGAACGGTCTGTCAGATTGGTATTTCCCGAAGTCAGATTACCGCACGGGGACCGTCTCACGTTTCGGGCCATCGGCCATCGACGCGGAGTGATCCCCAGACTGCGCGAATCGTACATCCGGGAATATGAATCACCATTGTCTGTATCTGAAGAGCACAAATGGTTCAGGATGTAGGAAAGCCGGGGGTTTAGCCTGTCCAGAACGCTCGTCCTGAACGAGCGTTCGATGTAAGATGTCATCGTCCGAAGTACAGAGGGATTCGCACACTGGAAGGCGACCTCGTTTTGCAGCTCGGGTCGCGCCCTACGCTGCGGCGCTGTAACGAGGATCAGCCGCGCGTGTGCGTCGCAGACAAATGGCATCCATCGTTTGTTAGAGCCAGTCTGAACGCGTGACCATTGCCCAGTCACCCCTCTGGCTGTTTACGTCATCAACTCTGCAAGTTCGCTGCAATTGGCCGTCCCTGATGACTCGCGTGATAAAGTCTGGGCGGCCCGACGATGCGCGCGCACTGCTCCCTGCGCAGTTGATGACGACATAAGGACCGAGTGGCCGCGCTTGCCCGGGCGGGGGCCCTGAAGTGCGTGCTGTGTCTGTGTGAGGGTGAGAGGGAGAAGTGGACAATATCTGCAATGTCGAGTCTATGTTGTGATTAAGGGTTTTAATGCAGTGTTGCTCTGTAAGAATAGGAATGCAAGTTAACCCCAATAACACCCGAGATCACTGGTGACATCCGGCTAGCACGTGCTCTTTAACGTGCTAGCCCAAAACCCTGGACACTGGCGTAGGATTTTCATATCCGATGAGATAGGCGTAATAAGAAATGGCCCAGACTATCAAAAGTCTAAAATGTCATGTGATGTGGCAGGTCGTCGGCAAGTTGTGGGTCAGTCTTGTCGTAGAGCCGTACTTGAGTGGAACGAAATAGCATTCCTCTGAAGTCCTGTAGAAAGTGGCAGGATTAGTCCGCCATGCAACAAGCTCAGCCTGACGCAGTGGCGGCATGCTATGTGCATACGGGTGTTGTGCATACTTGTGGGCATGGCCATCTTGGGCTGCACTGAATCAACGACACCGTGCGCCTTTTCCCGCAGGGTACGCTATTTACGAGGTGCTGGGTCAGAGCGAGCGTAACCTCCTGCCGGACGAGACTCTGGCGGACGTCATGTCCAAGTGGGAAAGGTGAGTCCGCCCCCCCCCCCCCCCCCAGACCTCGAGCTCAGCTGTGGTTTGCGTGCCTGATGTGCCATGACCTGACAGCTGCTGTTTGCTGATGAGTGTAGTTCCTATTTCGGCACGTTTTGCTCAGCGTCGGTGAGATACTGCTTGCGGCAGAATTCGGGATTTTAAAGTTATGCAAATATATATATATATATATATATATATATATATATATATATATATGTAAAGGTAATTTTTGCAAGTTCAGAGATGGGTTGACTGGTAAGCTACCCTATACTGGTGAATTATCAGTGCCTTTACCCGTCTTCATGAAGTAAAGTAAACTAAAGAGCTGAAAGTCGGTGCTTTCAAGCTCGGTTGTTAGTTCCTCTGTCCGGAGCGACTTTGGGCTGCAGCCGGTAGCTCCTGGTCTGGGGGCTTCCGTGTCCTGTATCATCTCCCCTCTCGTGTTATCGGTCACCCACCGGCCTACCGGGCCCCCCCCCCCCCTTTTCCACTGGCCCGTCGCCCCCACTGGCCCGCTTGCCGCCCCCGCCCCTGCTGGCCCTGAGTCGGTTCACGAGCCGGCGCCGCCGGTCGGAGAGGCGTTCAGGAGTCTGCGGAAGAGGACGGAGAGGCGTTCAGCTGCTGTGGGAGACCATCTGGTCGTGACCAGAGGCGTGTTCAGAGCTGCGATGGGGAGGGAGAGGCGTTCAGAGCTGGCGATCGGGGAGGAAGGGGCGTTCATAGCTGGCGATGGGGGCCAGCTGGCGAGGGGAGGAGGGGCATTCAGAGCTGGCGATGGGGAGGGAAAGGCATTTAGAGCTGGCGATGGGGGGGGGGGAGAGGCGTTCAGAGCTGGCAATGGGAAGGGAGAGGCGTTCAGAGCCGACGATAGGGGAGGGAGAGGCATTCAGAGCTGGCCATGGGGAGGGAGAGGCTTTCGGAGCTGGCGATGGGGAGGGAGAGGCGTTCAGACCTGGCGATGGGGGAGGGAGAGGCGTTCAGAGCCAGCGATGGGGAGGGAGAGGCGTTCCGGGCTGGTGATGGGAGAGGGGAGAGGCGTTCCAAGCTGGCGGTGGGGGACGGAGAGGCGTTCAGAGCTGGCGATGGGGGACGGAGATGCATTCAGAGCTGGCGATAGGGGGGGGGGAGGCGTTTAGGGCTGGCGGCGTGAGACGGAGAGGCATTCAGAGCCGGCGATGTGACGGATAGGCGCTCAGAGCTAGCTGTGGAGGACGCTCTGGGCGGTGGCCAGCGGGGCCGGCGGTGGGGACGGAGAGGCGTTTTGCACAGCTCAACAAGCACTGCTTAGTGTGAGCTCTGATCCCAAAAATGCATCCATTCAAAAAGTTAGGATACAATTGTTAAAGACCATGTGCTCGGCGGGAAAAGCTGTGGAGGTGCGCACGTTTTACAGCCAAAATGGCAGCCTTTTGCGCTGTAGTGCAGGTTTTCTGGTCGAACGCTGGTCCGTAAGGGCGCTGACGTGACGTGAGCGTGTACACGCTCGTGTGCACGCGTATCAGTGCTGTTATGAACCGGAGCGTGTACACGCTCGTGTGTACGCGTGAGAGCGCCGCTGTGGACCGGAGCGTGCGCGGGGCGCCGGCGTGGGATGCTCGTCCCTGATAGAAGCGGGCTGCATTGATCGGAGGGCGCAAACAATCGATTCAGTTTATCTGTTCCTGAGTCGAACGCCCGTTATTTGGCCAACCAATCGAAGCCCTCTCATAAGACCTATTTTGAGCCGGTGAGGCCGGGGCTCCAAACAGCGGCGCCGATGGTGCTTCGGAACATTGAACTCCGCCTGTATTACGCTGGCTTGAGCAAAGGTGCTGGCCATGTGGCGGGCTTCCCCGCAGGCCGGCCAGCTGGCGTCTGGGTGGTCTCTTGAGGAGATCGGCACGATCGACGAGCCGCGGCGGGTTTCGAGAGCTCGGCTGCGCGACATAATCTTAACAGCGTCACACTGCGTCACAGCGTCAAACTGCCGACGCGGTGACGAGTGCCAGCAATCACAAGTGTCACGTGATAGGACTCAATTAATGTTGCAATATAATTGGAACTGAACCAGGTGTAAAAAGTGGAAGTGAGTGGGGTTGGTTAAGCAACAATGGTTTACCCTCGCAGCCCTACCAATGCACCAGCTTCATCATCAAACTCGTCTTTTTTGCTAGGTCGGCGGACAAGCAACATATTTTCACTCAGATTCTTCCAGAAGCTTTTCCAATACACCCGCTATCAATGACGAACACCTCCACCGCCCCCCCCCCCTCCCCCCGCTTGCCATATCAGGTGACCCCCAACCTCCGCCCTCCCCGCTTGCCCTGTCGGATGACCGCTGACCCCAGCCCCCTTCCCGCTGACCGCTGACCGCCCCCCCCCCCGTTGACCGCTGACCTCCGTCCCCGCTCTCAGTGGCCGGTCGTGACCCAGGGTCCCTGCCCCAGGTACCAGACAGCCACGGCCGGCACGGACAAGGCCCGCAAGCAGCACATCTTCCTCTTCAAGAAGCACCTGCTGTGTGACGAGACGCTCGACCTGGACGACCGGGTGGAAAAGGAGCTGCTCTACCACCAGATGCTGCACAACGTGCGCAACGACAAGTTCCCTCTCACCACGATGGAGGCGGTGAGTGTCGCTCGTCTGCCGACGAGACCCGGAGTGTCGCCTGCATGCCGACGAGACCCGGAGTGGCGCCCGTGTGCCCGCGAGACCCGGAGTGTCGCCTGCATGCCGACGAGACCCGGAGTGGCGCCCGTGTGCTGGCGAGACCCGAAGTGTCGCTCGTCTGCCAGTGAATGTCGGAGTGCAGCTGGTCCGTCGGGCGGCTGGCGGTGGCTGGTCGCGGTGAGCAACTGCGCTGGTTGCTGTTTGCTGAATTGCCGGGATGTTACGAGACTGGCTTCAAAATCACGTCACTTTAAATAGCGAGCCACGCGAGCTCGTACTTGGTCGCTGAATCCACAGCCTTAGGCGTTGGGTTGCGCGAGGGTCTTTCGTCTTTTTTCCCTTTCACCTTGAGCCAACACTAAGAATATCCTTGTTTGTCTTTCGTCTGCGAGGCGTCATTCAGCTAAAAGGCTTGCGTCAGCAGAACAGTCGTGTCAGGCTAAATGCGTGGGCCGTCTCGCCATTTTCAAATGCGGCGAGTTCGCGGTAGCACCGTCTGAAAGGCGCAGCAGCGCGTAAGGTTGAGGGTCAAAACGCAGCAGCGTTTGAAGGCGTAACGTTTCGGCCTAGTGCAGCGCACAGAAGCGGCGTTATAAGGTTGGTCGATTCGGAATTTGTCGGGGTTGAAATGTACCTTTTGCAATTCCTTTGCGTCCGTTTAGATACACGGGTTTTCGGGGGAGGGGGAGAGGGAATGCATAACAGTGGACGAGGAATCGGTTGCATCAGCGTGAATGGATTCACCAGATTCACACACACGTGCGCAGATACGTGAAATGAGCAGGTTCCACACGCTAAATTTAAACGGGCGGCAGTGTGGAGACGGTTGCGGTTGCAGTGGAAGCACGGAACTAGATTTGTCCCCTTTTTCGAAAAACAATAAGAGTCTTGATGTGCTCTATCCTTTTCACGTAAGCAGAGTTTATCTTGGTTTCAGTAAAAAGCACTATGTTGCAAGATATTCATTCGTATGCTTTTCTAGGGTTTTCAACTCACCTGCATACCCAAAAAGTTTTTTTCAGATGACTCTAACCATCGCTTTCTTTAGCAGGATAATGCGCTGATGGCACTTCTGATGGCTGATGGCAAATCTGGGATATACTACCTTTCGTTGTTTTCCGTCCTATGTTTACGTTAAACCTTTTTTGGGTTATTGCGTTCTCCGGACATTGGCCACTTCATGGCTTCTTCTCCATCCATACCCATAAGCAATGGGGCAATGCCATAACTGTAGGAATGTCTTCCATATCACCCCAAACAGTGCTTTTGCACAACTTTCAAAGCTCACGCTCGGTGGTGCGCCAGTTGTAGTGACTACTAACTTCTAGCGTTTAACTCAAGGGATCTGGAAACAGAAACGTTAAAAAGGAGTTCACCGCCATTTTGGACACCTTGCGTTGCCATAGATTTACACTTAATTTGCATGAGGAGTGAAAGCGGCCTTGGAGTCATTGGTCCCTTTGACCCCCAACCGTGGTTCTACACTTTAGCCTGAGCCTTACCTGTGCCAACGACCCGTGTTGCTGTGTTCCGATATGCAATCGCACAGAAAAGAAACAGCCGTTCGCCAAAGGTTCGCTCGGATGCCTAACGCATCTATGAAGTCATGACTGGAATGCTGGAGCGTAGCACAACGGTTGTGCACCCATTCAGGGCATTCGCCTGTTGGAATTATTGTGAAACGGTGTTGCTCACCAAGAGATGAGAACACCGTCTGTGAATTTTGGCCGAAAAACTACACGATTTGAGCTAGAGCCGTATCTCTTGTAAAGTCCTGGATGAGAAATGCGTGAGCGCCGCGTGCTCCACCGACGCACCACCCCTAGACTATCAGAAACATGCCGGGCATTCGAATCGCTGTTTTTGTACGTTCAATCGTCATGCAGTCAGGCATGCTCTTACGCGGAAAAGGCAGCAAGAGGCGGTGGTTCGCCGACTTTTTGGCACTCCTAAGAACACCGGTTATTGAGCTGTTTATATAGTCTGCGTTTTTATGCGCACGGCTGTCGCCAGCTGCCCTGGATGTAAGCGGCAATGCCGCATTGACGCTCCTTTTCGCGAGAGAGGTTCATTCATTGCAAATTTGTGTTCGGTGGGTTGAATTCAATAAGCGTCCTTCTTTTGTTCACGTAGTCTGTGAGTTTCTTCTCAGTGTTTTGCTGATAAAGACAGCGTATGCGACGTCAGCATTGTCGCGCCACTGTAATATATTTTCAAATTTGGCTTATCTCACCGTGACTGATCAGGATACTGAGCCAGAGCGGCCTGTCTGCGGGGTCGAACCGCCCGTCCGCTTCAAGGTTAAGCCACCCGTCCCCTACGCTACGCCTCGGGGTCAAACCGCCCGTCCGCTACGTTACGCCTCGGGCTCAAACCGCCCGTCCGCTACGCTACGCTGCGGGGTCTGCTACAGGGTCGAAGCGCCGTTCGCTACGCTACGAACCGTCCGGCATCGATCTGAACCTCTCCATCCGACTGTGCGCCGCGCGTGCTAGCCGTGGGCGGGTAGTGTGTATGGTGCCGTGTTACCAAGGGTCCGTGTTCGGTTCCAGTTTGGCCTTTAGTTCGTGGCCTCCACGTAGCTGGGTTTGGCCGCAACGGCACTAGTGGCCTGCTTTATTCCAATGCATTGATAAGTTTGCTCTGCTACAGCGCAAATCATTGGATTAATTGACAACCGCGGATAAAGCATTTGCGCTCTGTCGGATAGCCAATCAAGCAAAACACACGCTCTTTATGTTTCGTGAGCTTTCTTGTGTGTTTGGTTGGTTTCATGAATATGTCATAGAATGATGTTGATGGCAGCAGCGTCAGTAGAGTCGGTGTTGACACTGCCTTCTCGACCTTCTTGCTGTTAGTGATACTCTATGTAATTGGGTACCAGTTTAAAGACGGATCCGTGCGTAGGTGATCTAGCTCCCTCAGAACTGCAGTTTTCCGCCGGGAAAGGTTTGTTATGTTGCCAAATACGCCGCATGTGTGCAGTTTCGTATTATTGCTCGTGGGGCCGGCACTCCGTCAGCTATCGCCAGCTGTTACTTTTACCTGCCTACCGTACTTGCCGTGCTGTGACGCCACATGTGTCCGTTCTCCACACGGTGTTACCAGGTGTCGTGATATGTGGCTGTGCCGGCCGAAATAGAGACGGCGGATCACCACAAACCTCCGCCGTGACGTCAGTCTGACGTCATCGGTGCCCCGGCAGGTGATGCTGACCGCGCTGCGGGCGCAGATAGAGCTGGGCGACTACAATCTGGCCGCGATCGATTATCAGCAGGTGATGGCGTACACACTGCCCCCGCGCGTGGCGTCCGTCGCCTCGGTGCACACCGTAACCGTGCACCACCAGAGCCTGGAGGGCATGTCGTCCGACCAGGCCAAGCAGGCCTTTCTCAACCTCATCCAGTCGTGGCCCTTCTATCGCGCCAGCATCTTCGAGGTCGTGGTGAGTATGGAGATCGTTGGGCGGAAGGGGAGGGAGGGGTCGCTGCCGTGATCAGCAGGGCTGCCTCTGTTTAGCCTTGTTGGCCGCAAGGAAGCAGCGGGCGTCTATAGATTCTCCTAATTGGTAGTGCTTGAAGCGCTGTAGTCTTAGCGTCAAATTCCGTCGGGTCACGAGGGCAAGACGATCCAGGCGCCACTGGCGGCTGTTCTCAAATCTGCGATATCACAGCCGCCACCCGGACACTGCGTTGAGGCGGCGCGTCTTGCTGACTTGATCATCAGCATCGCAGTCATTGGGTTTCGCCACGACGTTGTGCGTCACAGAAGGCCTCAAGAAAACAATTACACTATGGGTCGGCCTAGTTGGTTAATAGGCTTTATTACACTTTGAGTGCGTGTCTGGAGTCTATTACGCTGCACTTAACGTTAGATGGGCACCACTCGCCAGCTGTCGAATTTTCCCCATCGTCAACGCTACGTAACCAATGCCGTTGACCAAGGCCAATACCAGGCGATTGTGGCAATGTCAGCCGGTCGTTACAGCACTGTCTGCGCGAAGTAAACCTTTTCGCATTTCGTCATGACAGGTAATGCCCTGACTACCCGGCGCATTGTCCCGGGCTGGGCCACTCACCGTCCTCCGTCCATCTTGTTAACATCAGTCCCTGTGTGTGCGCGGCAGCAATCCTTCACGTCCAACTGGCCCAAGATGCTCTGGCTGGCCGTGGACGAGCATGGTGTGCACCTGCTGGACTTCCGCAGCCGCAACGTGCTCTGCACGTACGAGTACGACTACATCGTCAACTACAGCCCGGCCATCAACTCACTGATGATCATCACCGGCAGCACGCGCAAGCAGAGCAAGATCATCCTCAACACGGGGCAGGTGAGGCGCTGCTTGCTGGTGGGGCAGGATCGACGGCTGGCCGCACGTGCTGGGGTGGAGGCCAGGTAGGGGTCTTCAGCGGGCAGAGAAGTATGTGGCTGAATATGGCGGGTTTCTTGGAAAAGGGCTGTGGAATTGTGGAAAATGGGAGGAGGAATGTGTTTGGGCTTGTTTCTTTCGGTGCTACGTTTTTTTTTTTTGACAGTGCGGATGCTTGAGGATGACAGGCACCAAGCCCGAGGAATGTCTTTGGTATCCGTTGTTCATGTCATCTTTTCTGCACTTCAAACCACGTGAACGGCAGAAGTTGACCTGGTTGGATTAGGGAGATTCCTCACTTAACGTCCTGTAATCAGCCCCTCTTTGACGCAATATGCAAGTAAAGCTGTCATTTCTTGGCAGTATCATTGTTCACGTTTTAAATTGCATCAGTCATGGCTTGCAATCATCTCGTTCATGTCAGACTGGCTTCAGTCAGTCAGAATGGCTTCCTTTGCCCAGTTCCGACCCACGCGTCTGCCGGTCGCGTTCAGCCCTTCCCCGTCCTCTCCCGCCGCCGACCCGCCGACGTCACGGCCGCTGACCCTTAGACTCGCCGACGTCACGGCTGCTGACGCTCCGACCTGCCGAGGTCACGGCCGCTGACCCTTAGACACGCCGAGGTCACGGCCGCTGATCCTTAGACTCGCCGAGGTCACGGTTGCTGACGCTCCGACGTGCCGAGGTCACGGCCGCTGACCCTTAGACACGCCGAGGTCACGGCCGCTGACCCTTCGATCCGCCGAGATCACGGACGTTGACCCTTAGACTCGCCGAGGTCACGGCTGCTGACGCTCCGACCTGCAGAGGTCACGGCCGTTGACCCCTAGACACGCCGAGGTCACGGCTGCTGACCCTTCGATCCGCCGAGATCACGGACGCTGACCCTCCGCCCTGCCTCGGCAGGCGTTCATGATCGCCAACCTGGTGAAGGACTACACGCAGCTGATCAAGGAGCGGCTGCAGCCTGAGTGTCGGGAGCAGGCGTCACTGCGGGCGGGCGCGGGCGCCGCCGCCCGGCCCATGAGCATCCTGCAGCGGCCGGCGCCGCCGGTCGGCGACGGCGCACTCAGATAGACCCGTCCGGCGCCGGCACCGCGGTCAGGGGTGGCTCGGCCGCGGGCGGTGCCGCGCCCCGGCCGCGCGAGCACGGCGGGCTCGAGGGACGGGGCGACCGGTGTAGGGGTGGTGGCCCGCTCCTCAGCTGGGTGGAACGACCCTAGGTAGAGGCACTTTGGACGAGAGCACGGCCGCACGCTCAGCGTGGAGGCCGCCAGTCGCCGCCGCCAGCAGCGAAACAAATCTATGATAATATCACCTAGTCATTATGAATGCTAGATGGGAGATTCCATGGCGTTGCCAGATGAGATTGGCTTGTGTGGCGCCGGTGTGCCCGTCAGTGTGACCTGGTGGGGCGCGCTGCGGCGTCGGCGCTCCTGTGACTGTGTGCTGCTTGCATTTCATCTTTGACCTGTGTTTGCGACTTCGCTCGCACTGTCCGGGAGTCGTTCGGTGACCAATGCTTCTGCAGTGGTCCACTGTTGCTCAGTACTCAGTGTTTGTATTTATAGGACAGCTTGTGTGCTCTTGTTGTCTGGCAACGACGGATCTCGTGGATAGGTTTCGCTCAGCGAAGAAAATGTCGGTCTTCCTTGCGTAAACGAATGGCTTGTTTTCTTTTATTCAGCAAATGAGGTTGTAGAAGACGGCGTACTCATTAGCACAACTGGATGGTACTTGACTGGTTTTCACGTACTGCAGATCGCTGATGAAGTTTGCGTTGGCCTGGTTCGCATCAGTTGTGCGGAGGGCATTATATATAACTTGTGCTTTCGGACATTTTATTTTTTGGAAATAACTGGCGAAGCACCATCCGTGCAAGGGCTCGATTCCTCATGTAGAAGCTGAAGAAATCACAATGAATGACGTAACCGGTACACGAGCTCAAGAAATCACAACAGGAACCGTTTTGTTATGTTTAACAGTCATCTTTCTTTGCATTCCCGTACTGTCTTGGGACCAATGACGCTCGTTTGATACTTGCCGAATTTTACTAGTGATGTCTTGTTTTTAATACAGGAAAACCAACATTCGGTAGTTAAATTTATGTTGATAGGGAAGGTTGTTTACCCTCGTTTTTCCGCCTTGATTTTCGCACATTGCGAACGCCATTTCGTTGTCCACATGTGTGCGCCCGATGTCTGAACTGTGCCGCGAAGACACTGTTGCTCGGCTTTGGGTTAACCGAAAAGTGAGAATATGGTCGCCTTCAGCCATAAAGCTTCAGCCATAAACCGTAAGTGACCAGCCCCAACCGTGGACGCCTATTGACGGACCCGGCTTTGGCAGCCACTCCTGTGACTGCGCGACCTTTGCTGTCCAAGCATCTGACCTGCTTATAAATTTTGGATTTGGGTATTGTCGATGCGCATTATGATTTCTATTGATTGTACCGCAGCTGAGTACGGAAAGCGTTTTTGGTGTTTTGTTTTTCTCAATAGTTTGACATATTTAGCTCGATTGGCCTATCTAAAAAGTGCGGCTTATTATAGACCATCTGAATGTGCGTTGCAGGCCCCGCACAAACGGGTTACTTAATGGACAAAAACATAGTAAATATCTGGGACTGAAAACTTTGCGTTGTCAGCCACTAGCTGGTCACTATAGTTGATAATGGCGTCATCTTTTCAACTTAATTGATGCTAAGAATTATTCGATTTAAAAGTTGTCGCTTCGAACAGTAATTCGCCATTCTGCTCGGATTTCTGCCGCCAATCACGTACGGATCGCAGATCCTGGCGCCTGGTCTTCCGCAGTTGGGAGGCTGTTTTTAACGCTTTGCCGAACTTTTCGAGACTGTGCACCCGTGTGTTCGCGGCAAACCTTCACCGCGGTCACCGATGGGATGATGTGCTAAGGGGCCGCCCCGCCGTGTGCTCGCTATTCGTGACTGCCAACTGCAGAATATTCAAGCGGGAGAGATCTGCACCGTGTCTCTTCGAACCGCGCGAGGTTCGATGAGCTGTGCTGGGGTTAGCGTGGGAAGAGCGTTGCCAGGGTCAGCCGTGGTGACCGGGCTACTGAGACAGGTATCCGACTGCCACAATTTCCTAGTGAACTATGCGTGCTCTGTCTACGTCGGTAGGTGTAGACTTCCATGGTTGTGCTTGCTTTGCAAAATGGCGTCAATATTCTCTGTTTATACCCTTGTGCTATGCGTGTATATTTGATGAACATATAAGATAAATACAATCTTATTATTTGACGCGAGTTATTTGGATTACGTTGAAAGTCAGTATGTATCATAAGTGTGTGGTTTCGTTGCCTCAAATGTTGGCGTTATTCCTGTCAGGCTCGGTCCGCATCGCCACCTCATCACCGAAAAGCACCAGATTTTCGAAAAGTTTATCGGAAATCGCTTATTCGACACTGGCCGCACAGTTGTTGGCAAAATGACTTGCGCTATGTGAACAGATATGGTACAACAGCAATTAGATTAGTATCAATTATACATTGGTATCAACAGCATGCGTACGTGTGCTAACATTTTCGAGGTTTTTAGTGCCCTGCGCATTATCTTTCTCATCCCGAAAAACCGGGAACTTGTAACAAGGGCTTTAACAATGTTGAAGCGTCTCAACAAGGCCTTCCTTGTGACTACGGACGTCACCCGTTTTCGGCGAAGGACAGATAAACGTTAGTTCATTCTGCTACGATTCCTCGCTCGCGATGGTGCGGGAGAAATGTGTGTGAGGGAGCAGGATCATCAGCCTGTCAGCGTAAAGTCAGGATGGCTGGATCGTAGGGTTCGATCTCAGCGGGTGTAGTGTTTCCGGCTACCGCTGCGCCTCATACCAGAGGTACCACAGCAACATCAGCATCTGGCGCACCCCAAGGTTGGATCCTTCGCTGCGGATGCCGGCGATCGGAGGTTTTCCACTGATTGGGTCCTTGGCTGCAGACGCCGGCGATCGGAGGTTCTCCACTGATTGGGTCCTTGGCTGCGGACGCCGGCGATCGGAGGTTCTCCACCGATTGGGTCCTTGGCTGCGGACGCCGGCGATCGGAGGTTCTCCACCGATTGGGTCCTTGGCTGCGGACGCCGGCGATCGGAGGTTCTCCACTGATTGGGTCCTTGGCTGCGGACGCCGGCGATCGGAGGTTCTCCGATTGGGCCTTTGGCTGCGGACGCCGGCGATCGAGGTTCTCCGCCGATTGGGTCCTTGGCTGCGGACGCCGGCGATCGGAGGTTCTCCACTGATTGGGTCCTTGGCTGCGGACTGCCGGCGATCGGAGGTTCTCCACCGTTGGGTCCTTGGCTGCGGACGCCGGCGATCGGAGGTTCTCCACCGATTGGGTCCTTGGCTGCGGACGCCGGCGATCGGAGGTTTTCCACTGATTGGGTCCTTGGCTGCGGACGCCGGCGATCGGAGGTTCTCCACCGATTGGGTCCTTGGCTGCGGACGCCGGCGATCGGAGGTTCTCCACCGATTGGGTCCCTGGCTGCGGATGCCGGCGATCGGAGGTTCTCCACCGATTGGGCCTTTGGCTGCGGACGCCGGCGATCGGAGGTTCTCCGCCGATTGGGTCTTTTGCTGCGGACGCCGGCGATCGGAGGTTTTCCACCGATTGGCATACACGGTGCTCAAGGTTTGGGGCCGACTGGACCCCGCCTGTGTTAAGCAGTAAGGTTCAATTTCTGCGTAGTAGCTCGTTTTAAGTTGTAAAGAACCCTGAACAGCTTTAACGTTAATATGTGCTCACTACTCCACTTTGGGGGAGGGCTGGAGCAGTACAACAAAATGGCGACGTACGGACCAGTGGCAGTGGATCAGCAGACGGAGAGCTTTGGAACAAAATGATGTGCTTGATTCAAAACGGACAAAATAATGTTAACTGCTTTTCTGAGGGCAAGGTATGGCAACTACGCTGATCACGTGACTATGATTCTCACCCAGGGCATGAAGCTTCCTCTGACAGGGAGGATAACACTGGCACGACAAGCCACACGCATCACGTCGCTGTCGTTCCAGTGGTGGCATGATGCTTATCTTGGGTGGGCGAAGTCACCCCGGTTCAGACCATTTAGCGGATAAAGCAACTCGGCCAACAAGCTGTCACTCAGCGAACGCATTGATTCAAACGACGTTAATGGAGATTTTATGCGAGCAAAGTTACGCATAAATTTCATTCGTTTAAGTGGAAGGTAATGAGAAATTACTCTTTCAGCATGTGCTCACGAAGCAAGGCTTTAGCCGCGAAAGCAACTTTCCGGTAATTCTCTATTGGCTTTCATGCGCAAGAAGCCGAGTTGAAGCACCTTCATCACTAATGACTGAAATATCCCGTCACCAGACTCTCTGCAGATCACCAGTGTTCTGTCGCCTATACTAACAATCCTGGCTGATGGGCATGTTGCGGCATACGTATGGCGCCTTGCCCGGCGAGAGGATACTTTTCATTTTTAACCCTTTTGCACCTATTTTCCCTCCTCCAGACACTAAAATATAATAAACTTCTCAAGGATTCATCGCCGGCGATATGCTGAATGAGCATTCCACTCAAAAGCATGATGAGCGGCAGTGGGCTGTCACGTGGCCCCTCTGACGAGGCCAGCGCAGCTTTCCTTCGGAGCACCGAGATCTTACAGTGACTATATCACCACCTAAAAACGCTCAAACTTCAGCGCCCACGAACGCTCTTTCAGTACTCACGAGCCCTTGGCGCTTCTCGAGGGCCTCGGACGCTGCTGGACGCTACGCTGATCTCGATTCAGTGGCACGGTCTCTCTGGCAGGCGTTTAGTACAGCCCACGTGCTGATCAATCAATGGGATCCCCGATCCCGCCGATCGCTGGCTGGCCCGCCCCGCTGTCCAGCGACCTAGCGGTGGTCTCGCGTCGGCAGACGGCGCCACGGGCGGCGCCCGGACCCGCTCAGTCGGCCAGTCGGCGCCGAGCCACGCCGACCCGACGGCCGCCCGACCGTCTCAGGTAACGCCGCCGTGACCTGTCTCTGACCCTGCCGTGGCCTGTCACGCTGATGTGTTCAAGGGAGCCCTGCAGTGGTCTTTCACTGGCCTTTCTACGGTGACACCGTGATGGTGACCGTGACGCATCGTTGTGGTCTGTTTATGGTTGCTCTGTCGTGGTCCAAGTCACTGCTGTCTGTTCACGGCAACCCTGGCGTGACCTGTCACCTTGAGGTCATAACAACCCTGGCGTGACCTGTCACCTTGAGCTCATGACAACCCTGGCGTGACCTGTCACCTTGGGGTCATGACAACCCTGGCGTGACCTGTCACCTTGAGCTCATGACAACCCTGGCGTGACCTGTCACCTTGAGCTCATGACAACCATGACGTGACCTGCCACCTTGAGCTCATGACAACCATGACGTGACCTGTCACCTTGAGCTCATGACATGGTGTGACCTGTCATCTT